GCGGGTGGTCTGGTCCTTGCTCACGGAGACGACGTAGCGCTGCGAGGGATCCCACGACACGTCCTCCACCGAACCGAAGTGGCCCGACACCGTGACGCAGGGCTCCCACGCCTCGAGCTCCAGATCCTCCACTCCCTCACCTGCAACCCAATACCTCAGCACACACACACGACACACGACACACGACACACACACACACGACACACACGACACACAACGCACGCACGTGCACATGCACGACACACACACACACACACACACACACACACACACAACCTACCTTGCAATACTTTAGTGACCTGACGCTTCCAGAGGTGGAAGGCGCCGTTGTAGCCGTGCGCCAGGATGTAGAGGCCCTCGGGTCCGAACAGTCCGCCGAAGAATCCGAGCGCGTTGCCGCCCAGCTCGCCCACGCGCACGTCGTTGAGCCACACGCCGGTCTCCGGGTCGGGCCGCCAGATCGCCATCGAGCGGTCCATCGAGGCCGAGAGCAGCGCCATCGGCTGGTGCTCCACTCCTTCACCAGTTGGCGACATGTCAGCCAAAGCCACCGCACACGAACACGATCGCACACACGACACACGACACACACACGACACACACGACCACCGCACACGGTGTACCCTGTTTCTCGATTGTGGGGTGCCAGCGCACGGAATAGACCCAGTCGTCGTGTCCGTAGAGGATGGACTCGAGCACGGCGATGAACATGCCGTCGCTGCCCAGCTTGAACCGCTTGCCCCGGCGCTGCTCGATGTCCTCCCGGCTCAGCCCGGCGCCCTCGTCGTCGGCCTCCGCCTCGTCCGGCGCGTCGTCGCCGCCGGCGGCGGCGAGAAGCGGCGCGACGGCCACGCTCGACTCGCCGGCGTCGGAGCGCGCGATCTTCCACAGGCGGATGTAGTTGTCCTGCGCGGACGAGGCCAGGAACACGTCGCCGTTGTCCGCGCGCGTGAAGGCGAGCGACCGGATCCAGTCCTCGTGCCCGTGCAGCTCCAGCAGCCGATGAAACTGAAGCGACAACGTCGCGCGCAGTTGTCAGTACTGTGTGTCGTGTGCGTCGTGTACATTCTGTGCGTCGTGTGCGTCGTGTGCGGTGCTGACCTTTTGGCCGTCCAGCTTGCAGACGTAGAGGTGGATCATGAGATCGACGCCAGCGGCGGCCATCAAGACCACGTTCGTGCCGGGGATGTGAGTGAGCGCGACGCACTCCATCATCTTCGGCGCGTAGTCGAACGTCTGCAGGCACGTCCATTCGCCCGCCGTCGGGCCGGAATCCCGCCGCCAGATCTTCATCGTGCGGTCGGCCGACGTCGACGCAAGCCACACCTGCGCACACGACGCACATGTGGCATCGAGTGTGAGTCATCGTCACCTTGCGGTGCGTTCAGCTGCGGTTGTGGCTGTGGCTTACCTGGCCGTTGGGCGTGGTGAGTACAGCGACGTGGGTCACGGAATCGGCATGGCCCTGCAAGACTGCCGACGCTTCCCACTACTCGGTTGGTGTGTGCGGTGATCGAGCGCGAGCGCAGGAGGAGCTTGTGGTCAGCAAAACCAAAACGCGAAAGGCCACCAGCAACCACAAAGGAGAGGGGTGTGTCCATGCCTCGTCGCTGCTCTGGGACTTGCGCCAGACCATCACCGTCTTGTCCGACGAACCCGATACGAGTTCGGTCTCGGGCGACTTCCACCGCGCCTCGACGCTCTCTGCGATCGTGATGAGCACGCCGCGACGAGGTGTGAGATCAAACTTGCTGTGCTCTCGGCGGTGGTGGGCAAAAAAAGATGGTGGGCAGCTGCACACGAACCGGAGGTGTTGGGAATCCACGACACGCTGTTCACCCTGTCCGTGTGGCCACGCAAGACCTGCTTCACTCGATACTCCTGCATTTTGTAAAGATGAAAAAAAACGGAATTTAATAAAATATAATCAATCTAAATTGATCATTCGTAGCACGTCACGAGAGAAGGGTGCCGCAATGGGGGCAAGGTCGGACGTACATCAGGAGCGTAGAGGGCGATCATGTTGTGGGCTCCGTAGGCGAGCAGATTGTTACGGCCCCAAGTAGCAGCATTCACCAACCGGTTGCAACCGACACTAATGAAGCGCAAGAGAACCTTGGCATCAAGAGCCGAAGATGCCTCTCCCTCGGCCGCAAGGTTGCCCGAAGCAGCTGCCGCCCCCTCCATCTTGTTCTTTTCAACTCTCTTTCAGAGATGAAGAGAAAAGAAAATGGTGCGGAAAAACTGGCGGTTTGTGGTGTGTGCGGTGTGTTGACATCAGACCATGGCCACCTGAATGCTTGAAAAGGTGTGTGTCTTTATGATGGAGTATGATTACAGTTCGTCGGCCGGAGCAGAGGTGGTGGCGCTATCCTCCTCGGGTGTGACAAAGGGGAAGGCGTAGGCTGCCATGGAGAAGCTCCCATCCCAGTGCTCGTGCAACTTGATCGCCTTTCCAGTACTGCGTGCACACACGACCATGAAGGAAAGTAGCAGTTGTAAGCCAAGGAAGGAGTTGACAACAACATCCACTGGAGAGCGAGAGAACTGTGCGAGAGTGAGGTTTACCCAGATACGCCCACGAGGGGCAGTAGCGGAACAAAGTGTTCAACGCGAGGGTGGGCATCGTGAATGAGCGGGTGCTGCTTAAACGTGGCGAAGTGGTCCTCGCGCTCCTTGCCCGTCTTTGTCACCCCTTCCTCGACCCACTTGTCAAAGTCCACCGCCCATTGCTGCACGCGCGCGCTCGCGCAGGTGAGCACGGCAACGGGCTGGTGGCGACACTCGACAACATAAATCCGTACCTCTCTCTTCTTGAAGGCGCGCCAATCGCGCAGATTGTGTGTGATGAGACCACTCCCGATCACCAGCACGTCTTCCTCCTTGACCAGCGCCGTCAGCGCTTTGCCCATTCTGCATTGTCGTGTGCGGTGTGCGTGCGTGCGTGCGTGTTCGGTCAGCCACCACAACCGCCTCGAGATGTTGTGCGATTGAATGGTGTACCGAAAGTGGAGGCGAGGCTCGAAGGAGTCGATGAGGGAGAGCTGGAGAACGGGGATGTCGGCCTCGGGGTACATGAGGTGCAGCGGCACCCAGGTCCCATGGTCCAGACCGTGCTTGGGGTCCCCTCGGCACTCAATGCCCTCGGCCCGGAGGGCTTCCGCCACGCGCGCGGCGATGTCGGGTGACCCCGCAGGTGTCCACTTGATCTGGTACATCTCATCCGGAAAGCCTACGACAAGGAGAGGCCAAGGGAAGGGTGTGATCGGTCAGTACACAACGACACACGACACGCGACACACATGACACCTGGCACGCACCATAGAAATCGTAGATCTGGGGAGGCGCGAGCGCTGTGTTCACTGCAGCCTTCCTACCACCAATAAAAGAAATTATTAGTCATTAAATAATAAATAAATAAATGGATTAGTGACTAATAATAAAAAGTAAGATAAAAATATATACGAGGGGTGCGTACTGTTCCTCCCAATGCGCGGATATGCAGACAATGGCCTTAGGCCGGCCGAGCTGCTTGCCCAGCTGCTTGAAGAATTGGTGGGACGGGTGCTGCCGGTCGATAGCCAAGGTAGGCGCTCCGTGCGACACGAACACCACCCTCGTCTTGCTCAAATCCGTGGTTGATTTGATGGAGCTGCTGGCCTGCCTCATCGCGACGCTTAAGGTCAAGGTGAAAAAGTAGACGGCGAGAAGGAGATGGAGAGTAAATCTCTTTGGAGGATTAAAGGGAATGATGGTGGTGAAGGCAGGTAGGCCCAGAGTAGTGAGGAGGGTGGTGCAGACGCGGCGTGAAGTTGTGGTGTGTCCATGATGCGCAGCGACTTCATCTTTTTGTGGCTGTTGGCTCGCCGTTTGCGGGATACTGGAGAAGCTTCCGACCGCAGTAGATTGGCCAAAGCTCCAACCAACCGCAATTCAAACTTCAACGCTCCCATGACAGCACTCCCCTTTTCCGCCACTGGGGCCGTTTTTCTCTGGTGGCAGCTTGCTGGGTCTTCTTGGAGCTCAAGGAGATGAGCTGTTGGTGTTGATCCAACTGAGGTTTGGTTCGCTTCGGGTGTTGGGCTTTTTGGCGGGAAGGATCCTTATTGGTTGACTGCGGGGAAAGACCGCCAAAAAGATGCCGCGAAGACAGCAAAGTACACGCAGAGCTGGTTCAGGTCGGTTCCATTTGGCCTCAAAATCACGCGAAAATGTCGGATGACGAGGAATCGAACAGCTACACGAGGCCGGCGACGGCGTTCTTCGATGAGCCCATCACGGCGCATTACAGGCACTGGCTCCTACAGAGGAAAAATCGCGCTTCGGCGATGGCCATCGAGGAAGATGAGCGAGCGATCGCGGGTCACCACCTGAGAAATCTGTTGATCCAGCAATGGGAGGAAAGGCAAAAGAAGGAGCTGGAGGAGGACTACACCGAGCACGACGCCCAGGGTGCCAGCGACGCCAAGCAGCTGCTCAACCATCACAGCACGATCGCAACGGTGAGGAAGGACAATGTGTTCACGAGCGAATTGACGGAAGAGGAGCAGGAGATCGTGCGCCAACGCGTCGAACTCCAACGCAAGCAGTTCGAGCAGTTCATGAAGCGACAGAACGAGAAGCGAACGCGCAAGATCAGAAGCATTCATCCCTACATCACCGAACGCGAGGCCCTCCAAGCATTGAAAGAATGCAACGATGATGAGGTTCGTAATGCCCACTCACCCCCTTCTCACTATGGACGTTGTTTTTCGTTCGTTTTCGCTCTCGCGTTTGAGACATGTCTGATATTCAGATGAGGTCAATCTACCAACATTTGTTGAGTAGCGATCCCAATTGAGCCTTAAAGAAGGTGTAATTGCGGCTGTAGTGGCCATATCATCGCGAATTTTGAGCAGCCCTTCGATAAGTCTGTCAGTGCAACAGATCATTAACGTTTCCCGCCATTTATCCAGAATGAGGTTGTGGAGAAGCTCATGCAGGCGGGATTCTTCCACGAGGTGCGCAAGGCCATCGCCACCGAGGGGCGGACCGACGACAGCAGCGATGACGAGAAGGGGAACGATTCTGATAACAATGGCGACATTCCCGCCGATAAGCAATTCATCTCGAGGAAGCGCAAGAATGTGGACAAGAAGCGGCTCAAGCGCCTTCGCCTGGATGAGGCATTGAAGAACGTCGATGAGGGCAACTTCGAGGGCTGGTCGGAGGCTCGAATTCGGGCGTGGCAGCTCAAGGACAAGAATCCGAATGCGTACTACTACCGCTTCAACGATCCTGGCGTCGAGCAGAGAAACGGCACATGGAACAAGGTACCCACACCCTGCCCTCACCCTCACACCCTACAAGCAGCAGGGCGCTCACTCTGCCGCCTTGGCTCTTGCATGTTCAGGAGGAGAGGGCGCTGTTCTTCCAGCGAGTGGAGGAGATCGGCGTCAACGGCCAGTGGGGCATCTTCTCGATGGTCATTCCTGGGCGCGTTGGCTACCAGTGCAGCAACTTCTACAGGTACCATCAGAGTGCCATAGAGATAGATACCCACATGGGCATAGCGTAAACATGCTGAGCACTTCTCTTTCATGTCCGCGCTGCAGGCACCTCGTTGAAACAGGTCAGGTCGTGGACCCCAACTACGTGATCGACGAGAAAGGCAAGGCCCACTATCTGTTCAGCAAAGGCATTTGCAAACACACCAAGTCACATAAGAGAAAGGACCCTGGTACGTGGACCGCCTTGCGCATCGGCTCGTAGAGTGGTGGACTGACTTCAACTTTACCAACGGTCGCCGGCAATATCAGACGACGCGCCTCAGGTCAAGGTTAAGCAGCAAGGCAAGAAGAGAAAGGGAAGGACACAGAAGAAGAAGAAGGGAAAGGAAGAAGACGAAGATGCTCATGAGGAAGATGATGACGAATACGTGCCACCATCAAGCCTCAAGAAACAAAAGGGCGACGGTACTCGCACCCACCACATCGCCTTTGTTGGCGTGCCTGTGGTTCATTCAACGTTCGCTGATTTGTTCACTCTTTCTTTCGATGTTCGTTCAGACGAGGAGGACGAGGAGGCCAGGAAGAACGAGAACCCTCTGCCCGGGTTCCTCGATCCCATCACCTTGGAGGAGGTGGAACGGCCGGCCATTGCGCCTTCTGGTCACGTCATGGATTACAAGAGCTGGAGCAGGTACGCTGCGTTCGACCTTCTTCTTCTTCTTCGGCGGCTAACAACACGTGTGGTGGTCGTGTTCAGATGTCTTTCGTCCAATGGTGGCCTCTGCCCGTTGACGAAGCAGCCGCTCAAGAAGAGGGATCTGGTGATACTCACGTGGAAGAACATCCACGAGTACAACGACCGCATCGTCAACTGGCCCGACAAGAAGTAGTAGGCACCACCGCCAGCTTTCTCTTTCACCACCTTCTTCTCTTCGCCTTCGGCTTGTTGTCGCCCGACCGTCAGTTTTCGCTTTGCCTGTAACTTTCCATCGATAGTAGAACTTGTACCTATTTTCTCTCCAAATCCAGAGACATGTTATCTGATCTTGAAGCTAAGCAGATCGGCTGGTGAAGCTATGAGGCCTTCTTCTTCTCCAACATTGCAGACCTTCTTTCTCTGGTTTGGCTCTGTGTGTTGTGGCAGATGTTGAGCCAATGGCGAATCAAGTGCAGACTCAGGGTATTTCTCCCTGAATTTCTTTCCCCACTACCGCTTCTTCACACCTTCTTCTTGCTCGTTCCAACCCGTTGCTTTCTTTCTTCAACCAAGAAACCATCATCATCACCAACTCCTCCTTCTTCTCTATATTCGCCAATCACACAATATGTCTGCCATGCCGCCACCTCCACCTCCGCAGGTCTCTGGTACGCGCACCCCTTCATTTATTTTGTTATTTTAAAAATTGTGATAAATCAAATCTTATTATTGCTATTATTTGAGGCGTAACGTTTCTTCGACACGGACAGTCGAGGCCGGCGTCGTCAAGTTCGTGGCCGAAGGAGAAGACGAGAAAAAGAAGAACTGGCTCCCCACCTCGCTGGACATCCTCGACAACAAGGCCCCATCTCCACACGAGTACGTCGTCTCTCTTTCAAACATTACAACGTTCATCGTCTCCCGTCGACGTTGTTGCATTGCGTCACCACGAGATCATGGTCTCGTGTGAAGATGCGTGTGTTGTGCTGACAAGCGAAAGCTTCCTTTTTTTCTCCCCACCTTCAAAGGCTCACCTCGGCGCAGCTGGCGCAGGCCAAAGCGGCGGACATCGACCACATCCAATGGACTAAAGTCTCTGCCTTCTGCCGCTCCGGCGTTGGCTCTGCCGGTAACGATTACCCCACTACACGCCACACACGCCACACACGCCACACACGCCACACACGCCACACACGCCACACACGCCACACACGCCACACACGCCACACACGCCACACGACGAACTAATGCATGGCCGGCTCCGATGCGCAGGCGTGTTCTTCGTCAAGGTCCCGGAGGGCGTGGCGGTGGTCAAGGGCTGCGACTCCGTCGTAGAGGAGGTCTTTGCGGCGCTCCTCGCCGAGGTACGTCATCACCGACCAACAACCTGACACGACACGACCAACGACACACGCGCACCGCACGCACCGCACGCATGGCACACGCACAACGCACAACGCACACGACACGTGCGGTTCTGAAAGGGATGTGTCTGGGTGGGTGTGCAGCGGGTGGGCATCCGCGTGCCGCGCGTGCGGGTGTTGGAGTACACGAGCCGGGAGTGGCGCCAGGCCAAGTGGGCCATCCGCTCCAAGGCCGAGGCTGCCGACCCCACCGGCGTCGACGCCCTCAAGGTCGAGAAGGAGCTCGACCGCCCCTTCATCATGGGTACTCTCCTCTACATCGTGCCGCGGTGTGTGCCGCGTGTCGTGCGTGTCGTGCCGTGAGCGGGGTGGCGCGTGTGCGATGACTGATGGAGAAGTGGGCACCAGTGATGGAGTTTGTGAAGGGGAAGGACCTGGAGCAGTTGGGTCCGCAGGCCAAGTCGCTGTTCGAGAGCCCCGACGGCCCGCGGCTCTTCCGCGAGATGGGCCGCCTCGTGTGCCTCGACATCGTCACCAACAACTGGGACCGACTTCCCATCATCTGGGACAACGACGGTACCACCCGCCTCACGCAACACGACACACACGGCACACAAGACACTCACGGCACTCACGGCACTCACGGCACTCACGGGCTTGTGTGTGTTTGTGTGGTGTGTGTGTGTGGCCAGGGAATTTCCGCAACCTGTACCTGGAGCAGCGGGAGGGCAAGGACCACCACCGGACCAAGTGGAGCGTGGTGGGCATCGACCAGGGCATCACCGCGGTCAAGCGCGAGGTGCACCCGGAGGGCCACGACAAGTACATGAGCCGCGTCGAGTCGCTCGTCGTGCACATCGCCACCAGGGTACCTCCTCGTCGTGTGTCGTGAGTGCGTCCGTGTGTCGTGTGTCATGTGTGCGTGTGTCGTGTGTCGTGTGTCGTGTGCCGTGTGCCGTGTGTGCCGTGTGTGCCGTGTGGTGTTTGCGATGACTCAAACGTTGGCGTTGCATTGCTTGGGCGCAGCCGGGTGAGGAGGCGGAGGAGCTGCAGCGATTCAGGGACTGCATTCGCACCGAGCTGGCGATCGATCTGCGCCCCTCCGATTCGCTTGAGATTCAAGCCGGCATTCTGGAGACGGTGAAGGAGTTCGCCAAGCTCGAGGAGAAGGACCTCGTGGAGATGAAGCACAAGGTGGAGCACATGATCCGCACCGACTGGGCCGACGTGTGGGCCAAGGGCCTCGAGAGCATCCACATCCCCATGCTCATGGACGTCATCGACATCTACAAGCGCGCCCTCTCCCTCCCGCCCCAACCCGCCGCCACCAAATAATTATAATCACCGCACACACGCACACGCACACGCACCAACGCAACGCAACACACGTGATATTACTTTTTGATGTATACAATTCTACATTTTCGCACACACCGCGTGTCGTGTCGTGTCGTGTCGTTGTGTCGTGTGCGGCGACTGATTTTATTGTTAGAGCTCGCGACGTTGGGTGGTGGGGTCCGGGGAGGACTGCGCGGCGTCGACGTGGTAGCGGAGGAGGCAGCGCTGGTAGTCGGCGCTCCCCGTGCTGGTGATGGCGCACATGTTGGGCAGCGCGTTGGCGATGTAGAGCGCCGTCTTGTAGCTCAGGTAGCGCGCAAAGTGGGACGAGAAGCCGCTCGTGATCGTCTCCCACACCCACGCGAACGAGGCCGTGTCCACCCCGCTCACCTGTTGTGCCACACCGCCGCCGCCGCCGCCACGTCAGCACGACACGCACCACACCACACGTGTGCGCACGACACAGCACGCGCGCGCGGGCGGGAGGGAACGTACGGCGTAGGCGCCGCGGAAGGTGTATTCGAGGACCCAGCGAGGGGCGGGGAGGAGGTTGACGAGGGCCAGGTCCAGGTAGAAGTGGGCGTAGTCCGCGATCGCCCCCGTCTCGCGGTAGTAGTGGTAGTACCTGAAACTCGGATTGTTTTCGTGCCTGTGCGCGTGCGTGTGCGGTGTGTGCGGTGCGCGTGTGCGGTTGGTGGTGAGGTGTGTGCGCACATATGACATGATGAGGTTTGCGGAGACGGGTGTGGCGTACAGCGGGGAGATGGAGGGGTGGATCATGATGCTGGACACGACGACCGGGTCGGCCGAAGTGGTCTGCTGCGCGCCGGCGACGTCGTCGTCGGTCGGCGGCGGCGGCGTCGCACTGGCCTCGGCGCCGCGCGGGGACAGCAAAATGCGGAACTCGTCCAAGTGGTAGTGCGCAAAGATCTGGTTGATGATCACATCCTCGGCAAACTGTCGAACACAGCACGTTGTATGAGCATTCCGCACTCGCACGCGCGCGCGCGACCGCACACGCACACGCACGAGTTGGGGGGGGGTTGAGGCGTACGGGGTAGATGATGTCCAAATACGAGTCGACGTATTTGGCGCACCAGTTGATGGATCCGTCGTATTCGTTGACACCGTAGGGAATGTGGCCGGCGATGATGACCTACGGCCCCAGCGTTCATGAGAATGACACACGACACGCACGGCACGCACGACACGACACGACACGACACGACACGACACGACACGACACGACACGACACGACACGACACGACACGACACGACACCTTTTCGTTGTTGAGCTTGGCTTGGGCGAGTTGGTTCTTGAGCCACACGAATTGGCCGTTGGGGTCTGCCGGCGGGTTGGTCGTGCACGAATCGTACGGGTCTGCGGCCAGATTAATCTGGCTTCGTCAGCCAAAAGGAATGAAAAGAAAAGAAAAAGAAAAAGGCATTTGGGGCGGCGAACCGAGGGCGGTGCTGTTGCTGGGCACAAAGTTGATGGAGTAGAGCACCGTGTTGAGGGCGATGATGCGCAGGCCGGTCGCCGCCGGGACCTTCATGCTATAGTAGCCCCCCGTGACGAACGTGGCTCGCTGCTCCTCTACACACACGACACGCACAACGACACGACACACACAACGACACGCACGACACACGACATGTCGACCCGCGTGGTGTGGGGTTGAGCGATGGGTCGAGGAGCGAGCCGAGGCCTGCTGCAAGCGCGGTAAGGGCGTCTTACCGCCGAGCCAGGGAGACCACAGATTGGCGAGGTGGTCGAGCCACGCGCTGGGTCCGTAGGGCTGGTGGTAGTCCGGGTACACGTCGTTGTTACCTGCTGCCGAGTCAGCCTTCACGTTGCGTGCCATGCCGTGTGTCGTAGCGTGTGCCGTGTGTGCCGTGTCGCGTGTCGTGCCGTGTGTGTCGCGTGTGTCGCGTGTGTCGCGTGTGTCGCGTGTGTCGCGTGTGTCGCGTGTGTCGCGTGTGTCGCGTGTGTCGCGTGTGTCGCGTGTGTCGCGTGTGTCGCGTGTGTCGCGTGTGTCGCGTGGGTCGCGTGTGTCGCGTGGGCTGCGGAAGTGTGGAAGTTGGAGGCCAGGTACCGAGGAGAGGGAGGACGAGGGTGGTGGGGAAGACCTGGCGGATCATCGAAGTGAATTGGGTGATGGTCTGGTTTTGCAATGCCCACGTCGGCATGGCATGCGCCGGTATGTCGCCCGTTCTACACGCATCATACACCGCATTCCTCACATTAGCACACGCACTCACCGCACAACCGCACACGCACACACGCACACGCACACACTCGCACAACCGCACAACCGCACAACCGCACACGGCGTACATCAAGATAAAGTCTGGCTTGCTGTCGACCGCGTACATGGCGCCCAACCTGTTCACATGTGAAGGCAGATTCAAGTTGAGTCGCTCAGCATTGAGGGCGATGGCGATGGCGATGAGGTCCAGTAGTGGTTTGGTTTTAAAGGTGGCAGTCGAGGTGGCTGTACGCGCTCTTGACCAGCTCGACGGGGGCGTCGCAGCCGTACTGGCCGTAGGGGAAGTTGCCGCCCGAGGGATCCGATGCCCGGACCGGCGAGGCAAAGTAGGATTCCTCTTCTGCGTGCGGTGCGTGAGTACGGTGTGTGCGGTGGTGCGTGTGCGTGTGCGACGGCGAGTGTGTGCGGTGTGTCGTGTGCTGTGCACGTACGGGTGAGGTTGGAAACGCGGCAGAAGGTGCTCCGATTCCTCGAAGCGTCGTAGAGCACGTCCATGTGCACGTCCGACAGCTGGAAGAACCTTCCTCTGCATTTTATTGTCAGTAATTAATTTTATTAATTTTTCTATAATCAATATCAATAATTATTATCCATAATAAATCGTAATAATAAGACTCTAGCAATAATTCTATTTTTTTAATTGATTATTACTCTTGTGGGGGGGGGTAATACCGAGGGGAGATGGGGCCAGAGGGGTGGAGATCGTCGTTGGCGACGTGGATGACGTCGAAGAAGAGGAGCAGGAGGAGGCTAAAGAAGGCCACGAAGAAGATGAAGCCCGCAAGGAAGAACGCCCAGCGCTGCAATCGCTTTCGCCTCACCGTTTCGCCATTGGGGCAGCAGAGGAATGGGAATGCCGAAGCGAGCGCTGATCGCTTGGCAGAGTAGGGCGAGTTGAGAGATGAAGAGGAAGAGGAAGAAGATGACGACGGGAGCACGGTGGAAAGAAGGCTCTCTTCGTCATCTCCGCCACTATCATTCACCAGCAGGTTTTGGCGTGCCTGGTGATCGCTGTGGCTAGATCGCGCGAAGGGGTGGTAAAAGCGTCGCTCCTGCTCCTCCATCACCACCTCCACTTCCACTTCCAGTGCAGTTACGAATAAATATAAATAAAAAGATTTATTCTTTTGTAATTCATAAATCAGTTTTATTATCGGACCGTTCTCGTCGACTTACGTGTTCCGTTTATTTTCTTTGTGGGCTGCGCATTTTCTTTTTCCGTTTTGCGTTCGGGGCCGACACATCTCAAGGAGATCGTCATCTTCTAGGACACAAGATGATTTACATTTGCGGAGGTACGTAAGATAGTCGCTTTATGTGCACCGCGGCGCATGCTTCTTGTGTGCGATAATTCAGCATTGTGCCCCCCCCCCAACTTGAATTAAATCAATGGATGCTCAATCTGCAGCGTGCGCTGCTGAGAATGACATCAAGCCCAAGGAGCCCATCCGATGCCGAGAGTGCGGGTACAGAATCGTGTACAAGAAGCGAACCAAGAGGAGTACGTGCCCTCCCAAAATTCAATGTCATCCTCACCTCGCTCCATCCTTCGCATTCTTACCACTTCTCCACTTCCGCACTCTGCAGTCATCCAGTTCGAGGCTCGCCGAAAGTAAATGATGCTCGACTTAAACAAGGGCGGAGAAAGGATAGATGGAGACTGTAAGAGGGGTTGCAGAGCGCTGCCGTAGTAAAGTTTAGCCTTTCTCTCTGGCCCGCTCTTGTGTGCGTTGTTTTTTCTACAACACACAGCACCACTGGCTGGCGAAGGGGTTGTGTTGTGAGGCGAAGCCACAAGTTGAGCAAGAGACAACTTGGCCGAGTGGTTAAGGCGGTAGACTTGAAATCTACTGGGATCTTCCCGCGCAGGTTCAAACCCTGCAGTTGTCGATTCAATTTTTTACTTTTCAACCATGGTTTTGGATATGTCCACCCATGAGAAAGGCTGGGTTGAGCTCTCCCAACACCTATCCTGTGCACACAGTCATCCAGTCATGGGGAGAGCAGCCAAAAAGGTATCAGTGTTGCCACTGACCCTTTTTGAATTATGGCTGTATGGCTGGCAGCCACCAGCTGCCATCCAAATGCAGCACTCAGCCCTGCTTGTCCTGTTGAATATTTCACTGGCTGGTGGTGACTTTATATTTGTGTCAGCCAATGCTTGGCTGTGCAAACTGGTCCTGAGTGGAGCTCTACCACCAATGCCAGGAGAGGTGTGAACTTGTGGTCATTTGAAATGAGAGGTCCAGTCTGTGATAGAATGTCCTGCAGGTACACAGTGACTACATGTTAGACCTACCAATACTTAGTTTATCATGTACACATACATGATCTGGAAAATCAGAACTTTGCTTGTTTTGTGTAAGTGCTCCTCTGAACAACCTCAAACTGCACCTTGCTTTTGCTTTCATACCCTCCATCAATTCTGTAATCAGTGGCCAACATGCTGCCCTGACATCCAGTTCATGTTCAACCTCACACCATATTCAGTCAGTTGCACACATGCACTGAACTTCATTCTTCACATTTGTGCTGAATTGGAGCACTATTCCTAAAGTTAAAATTCCACTCCATTCCACACTGATAAAATCACTTTTAACTCCACAAATTCCAAGTTTTTATGAATCATTTTCATCTCAAGTCCCTCAATATCACTTATAAGCAGCGGTCTAGCATGTCAAAATCACACATGCAGATCAAAATCTTCAAAACTGACCTGTAAATCAAAAATGTCAAATCTCACATGATTTTAGCACAACAAAAATTCCACTGTCCTTTGTGACCTCTCATTTCAAATGACCACAAGTTTGTGGTGGAGCTTGCTTCAGGCCATGGAGCTTGGGGAAGTGGCAAGAGGCCTTCAACTCAGGCCAATTTAGGTGGGTGGGAAGATGAAGAGGGGCTTGTAGGAGGTGAGGATGTGGTTGCTCATGTTGAGGAGATGGCTAGGTCTGGAAGAGGGAGGAGCTGGCAAATAGATATGCAGTCACACAGGAATTGAACCTGGGCAAAAAAGATATGCATCCGCCGGGAATTGAACCCGGGTCTCCCGCGTGGCAGGCGGAAATCTTGCCACTGGACCACGGATGCCTTGCTTGCCTGCACCACGGATGCTTGTTGGGCTCTGCCGGCTGCCATTGTAGTCAGCTAAGAAGCTCTTGTTTCTGGTGGCCTGTGCATTTCATCACTTGCTGTTTAGTCTTTCTACAAAAGGTAACTCACTGGAACCTCCAAACAGCTTTGGTGGGCTATGAGTGTAGGTAAAAATTCATAAGAAGCAAACAAGCAGGTCTATAGTGACAATCCAATCACATCCCTCTAAAGTCATCCCTCCATTGTTTACTACATTTTTTGTGCTGATTGTTGAGGCTTGATGCCTCATGGCAAAGATGGGTTGGCTCAGAGTAGAGACCAGCAGTGGGAGGAGGGGGAGCAGTGGGAGGTAGATGTTGTGGTGTGTTGTTGTACCTGGCTGGCAGGTGGCAAGGACAGCCAGTTGATGCTCCCAGGTGTGATTGTCTGCATTGTACTGCAGTACATTCTATTTGTTGTATCTAGATGTTGGCCCAGGTTTTTATTGGTATAGTTGTGATTGGTGTGTTGTAAGGTGTGTTTCAGAAAACAGGGTGCTCACATTATGAACAGATTATGCGTAGAATGGGGAGGATGTGGGAGTACTGCAGATATTTTTACATTGTATCCCTGGTGGGCAGAGCCAAGCCATCAGGATCTTTGTTTATTATACGTAGTTTTTAACTAAAAAGATGTGGTTGTAGTAAGATTCCGTGGTGCAACGGTAGCACGCAAGCCTAACACGCTTGAGGTCGCGAGATCAACACTCGCCGGAATCATTTTTAATGTTTATTGTGTGTTGTTGTCCGCACACTTTCTTTTGTTGCGTCTCATTCGTAATGGATTCGCCCAGCTCGGAGGACATCGCTCGCCTTGCGGCCGACTTATCGAGCGTGCAAGAGCTGGTGCAGATCTCCTTCTCCCTATTGATGCAAGCCAATAATCTCTAATTTATTATTCTCCATTCAACAGGAACTCTCTACGCCCCGCTACACCCCCACCCTCCCCTCCCAACGCGAGGTACTCCACCCTTTCTTTTATTATTATTCTTCTGAATCCTATAATAATTGAAATTATAATCGATTAAATGGAAAAACAAAAATATCTGCAGCAATGGGAGAGGGAACAGATGCTGCAGGAGATCCGGGCGCGCGAGCGGGACATGGAGCGCATCCAGGCCGAGCTCGACGCGCTGCGCAGCGGCGCAGCAGCCCGTAGAGGCGTCAAGCGCCACCTTCCGCCACCAGTCGTCGAAGAAGCCAAGCGCGGCCAGCCGACCACCACCGCCAGCGCCCGGGAGGCCGAAGACCTGCTCGAGGCCTGTCTGGGCCTCAGCGAGGCCGTGCTCGGCGTCTCCTTCTCACACGTCTCCTCGACGCTGGTGCCCAGCCGAGACGGCCGTACGCGCTCGGCTTCACTCCAACGCTGCCGCCGCCGCCGCACTTGCACTGCGCTGATGGCGGCCTCGAATGGGTGAGCCGGACTAACCACGATTGTCGCGTCGGCAGTGATCATCAAGCGGTACGATGTACGCGGAAGAGCTGCCGCGTCGATGTCGTTCATGCTGTTGCTTCAAGTCCAGGTAGGCAGCTACAGTGGTTGTCGTGTCGTGTCGTGTCGTGTCGTGTCGTGTCGTGTCGTGTCGTGTCGTGTGCTGGTTGAGATTGTGCGGATGACACTTTGTGACGGCCGGGCAGGAGGAGGCCCAGGGCGAGGGCGAGCTTGCCGCACACGAGACCGTCGTCCGATCCCAGGTCAGGGTTCCGGCCGCTTACAGCGACCAGCTGCGACCACTCACTCGGATGTGCGTCTCCTTCCACTGCGTATCGTGTTGTGTCGTGCGAGTCGTGCGTGTCGTGGGGTCGATAGACATCGGAATTGACTCGCAAGCCACTGGCACAGGCTCGAGGAAACGAAGGGCGTGCAGCTGTTTTTGTCGCGTCTGGCCGAGTTCGCCGAACTCGCCGAGGCGCGGGAAGCGCTGTGGCGACACATGAAGCACAAGTATGCGGCCCGCGTGACACTCCCCCACGGGCTCTCATCGACACACCTGTGGTTCACCCCGATCAGGTTGCACCCCCGTCCCTCGCTTGATGATCGTCAGCGCTGCCGTGACCACTCATCCGCACACACATGCAACAACACAGGGACACGCCTGACCTCCAATTCGCCTTCATATGGGAGATCAACTTTACTGGTACCATGTTGTGTGCGGTGGTGCGTGCGCGTGTGTGCGCATGTACCAACCAACGATCGTTGCATGTGCGTGTGTACATATGCCACAGACGAGCTGGACATCAAGACTGTGGTGGATCTGGTGCCCAGAGTTTCTTTCACCGGTACGCCTCTCCCACAGCTCATCCACCTGGTGGAGCAGGTGGTACTCACACGCGCCCGTGGCCGCTCTAGTGCCGGACGAGCTGGCGTGGCTAAAGGACACCTCCCAGCACTTCAAAACGCTCACATCGCGGAAAGGCGTGCAAGATGCCCTGGAAACCTTCTTTGAATTTGCCTCCAGCTGAGGAAAATGCACACCTTCACGAATCCAGCGTAGTCACAGTCCAAAAGCCAAGCTTGCTTCTATTTTGTTCAACAATACGCAAGGACAAAAAGTCTTGGTCGACAACGGCAGGATTTGAACCTGCGCGGGGAGACCCCAGTAGATTTCGAGTCTACCGCCTTAACCACTCGGCCACGTTGTCTTGCCTAAAAAAATGTGGTACGGAAAGAAAATTTGTACCACTAATATTGAACTCAAATCCAACCAAGTGGGCGGAGGGAACTCAGTGGTCCTTGTGGCTTGAGCGGAGGATGAGCTTGCATTGGATCGAGTCTAGTGGTAAAGGAAGGAAAGGGGCATGCCGCCAAAGTGTGCGAGGGAGGGCGGCAGACACGTTCGGTTCCTCTCCTGAAGAATGCGTAGCAGCTCCTCGCACTCGGCTTGCCACAGCACCACCTCCTCCGCCCGCACTTCCGACGATCCGCCGCTGTGCATGTCACGCGTGACCACCATTTGATGAACATAAGAAATAAGAAAATTGCCCCACACCTGCGCCACACGCGCGAGCCGAAGGAGCAAACGTACGTCAGCCCCAAGGTGTCCTCCTCCGCTCCTGCGGCCGTGCAGTCCACGTAGCGGAGCTTGGCAATGGGCGCAAGACCTCTCCCCACGTCTGCATTGTTTAAGACCAGGTGAGTATGCGACACACGATGACACGTGTGCGTGTGCGGTGGTGCGTGTGCGTGTGCGTCGTGTGACCTTGGAGCAGAGGCAGGTTGCTGGCCAGGGACGATCGCCAGTTCATCAGGATGATGAAGATCACCGGCTTATCCTGCGCGCACGTGATTGGTGGTTAGTCAGGGCCTACACGAGTGCCTGTGCGTGCGTGCGACCGACGTCGGCAGTGGCGCGCACCGACTCGAAGGCCTTGATCGAAAATCGGTACACGGCGTGAATGGAGGAGCTGGCCAGCAGGTGCTTGGCCACGAATCGCTCCAGCGTGTCCGCCCGGAAGTAGTTCTCTTCCGACGAAGGCGAGCCAGTACGAGTACGAGCCGGCGAGAACGGTCGATTCGCGATGCGATACGTGAACAGCCGCAGGCTCACGTGCTCTGCGAAACCAACCAACAAAACGAAACGAAACGAAACACGAAACGAAACGAAACCTGGTCAGCACATGTCGTGTAGTTGAAGGGAGGCCACGGTAGAGCGGCACCTTGTACGATGGGGGGGATTTCCTTGACCCCGAAAGGCGTGTGGCAGGCCCGGCAGGCGATGGGCGACCACCCGACCTCGCTTCCCGCCGACACCAGGCCCTGACGTCACCCACAAGGGGAGGCGGGTCAGTCTAGAGATCGGTCGGTCGGTCGAGGGTGGGCACCTGATCGGGGGGTCATACCTCGAGTTGCTTGTCGCCTTGCGGCGGCACGGCGTAGTCGACTTGGGACGAATGGAGCATCAGGAAGGTGTCCGACACGAAGCACACGGACGGTGCCGCCTTGATCTCATCTGCGCGGCGCCAGCTCTTGAGCACCGAGCACGCACGACACACACGACACAACCAAACACGACACGCACGACACAAAGGCACGACACACACGGCACAAGGGCAAGAATGGAAAAGTGTGCGTACCGGTGGGAAACTGGCGAAACGCACAGCAGTTGCCACAGGTCCAGAAGTCGGCCAACTCCAGCCAGTACGTGGACGGCAGCGAGAACACCTTGAGTAAATAGAGTAAATAAACAAATAAACAAAACACTCACTTTAGCCGTGTGTGCCGTGTGTGCGGGATTGGTGCCTTTTTGATGAGAGCATGTTCGTGGCCGGAGGACGGCTGGAGTTCAGCGTTGTGTCCCTCGGTGGAGGGGTGCAAGAGGGACTCGCCGCACGCCCGGCAATACAGCTGGGCGACTTCAGCGAGCGACGGCAGCTTCTGCGCCTCCAGCAGATGACTGCAAGACGGACAATTTACGTGCGCGAATGAGCACGACAACACACACGACACACGACACACGACACACGACACACACAACACGCACACGGCACACGGCACGGACGCACCTGTCGTTGTGAATGGACGCATTGGAGGCGGATTGGAGGGGTATCTTGATGAGCACGTGATCGGGCAGGAGCTGCATGGTGGCCTTCGACGCATCCACCTTCGCCCCGTACAACGGAATCTTGTAATTCCTCGATGCACTGCAGCCCAGGCCCGTCAGAGCCGTTACACACATCAACACACCGCACACGCACACGAACACACCGCACACACAGCACGCACACGACCGCAGATATTTTTGGCGCGTACCTGGGGCAGTACCACAGATGCGTGTCGGATAGGGTCACCCGCACGTCCTCGGGCGCCGCTGCCGACTCTCCCTGGGAGGAACCATAAAAGTTAAAATTCCAGTCCTCGCGCAGTTGGGCGACTTGACTTGACGGGTACCCGTTGATGGAGGATGGTGACGGACACGCTCTGCAGGTTCTGCAACACCTCCACCAGGTGCGGCGGCGAATCGCTCCCTCCTTCCGCGTTGTCGTCTTCCACTTCTTCGTCTTCGTCTTCCACTTTCGCTTCCTCTTCCGCGTGCTTTCCGTTCGTTTGCACCACCGCGCTGCACTCGTCCCTGCTTTCGACTCTCTCTACGGATCGGCCAGCGCCCGGTCGTTCGTCGGCCGCCTTCGCCTGCTGCCCGCACAGCTCAGCGTGAGCACGCAGCCAGCATTGGCTTGCACATCGCACGACACGACACGACACGACACGACACGAAGAACACAGGCGGCACCTTCAGTGAAGTGCAGAGCGCGCGGTGGCCCGCCTTCCAGTCTGCAGCTTGGCAGTCCCGAGAGCAGTACCGCACGGCCCGGCAGCTGCCGCACACCATCAACTTCTTCTTTCTGTCGTCGGTCGGCGCGCTGCCTCCCGTCGCCTCCCCGTCGCTCGTGTGCTTGCAACCGCCGTAGCTGCACTGTAGTCGCTCATCCCGAGATTGAACGTGCGATGAAGGGATGCGGTAGGTCAGCCTCTGGCCAAAGTTGGCCTCTGCCGCCAGCCGGTATCCGGCCAGGAGGGTCGGTGGCGTCGCCACATGCGAGTGCGAATGCGGATGTGCGCCATGGTTGTGTTCCATCTCTGGTGCGCGCCAAAAAGGAACGAGAAATAGGCGAGAAAGAAAAAGACAAAAAGAACGGCAGCAGGACCGGCATTCCATTCTGCTGTTGACATCTGGAGCCGGAGGCATCAAGAGCGAGATTCGAAGAGACACACCAGCGAAATGATCATCCCCATTCGTTGCTTCACGTGCGGCAAGGTTCGCACTTGCTCGCAAGCTGCCCATCCCGCCCGATGATTAATCAGTGGCAAATTGCTGATTGAACTTTGGGATTGCAGGTGATTGGAAACAAGTGGGACACCTACCTCAGTCTGCTTCAGGCTGATTACGGTGAGGGGTATGTCGTTCATCTGCACCCCTTTCTTTTTTCGCTCCATCCAAATCTCAACATCGCCCCTTTCAATCTTCAGTGATGCCTTGGACGCTCTGGGTCTCCGACGGTACTGCTGCCGCCGTATGCTGCTCACCCACGTCGATCTCATCGAAAAGCTGTACGTTCAAGCACTTCTTCCCTCCCATCCTTTTTCTTCTACTCACGCTTCCTCGTCGGCATGGCGCAGGCTCAACTACAACACGTTCGAGCGGACGATACCCGAAAACTAAGAGACCTCATCCACGAGTAGCAGCACCATGATGAACAAAGCCAAAAAGAGAGGACGTGGGTGGTGGGCGCCAGCTTGTACAAGCCCTCCAATATACACTGTTCCATGCCTCTCTCCACTTCTTCATCCCAAGCGTTGTTGTTGTTGGTTGGTTCAGCCAGCACGTCATCAGCTCGCGCCGAAGACGACGAGGTAGCAGGGCAGGACCTGCGCGGCGTCGAACAGGACCAGCTCCTCGCCGCACGGGCTCGTGTGCGAGTCGTAGCCGCGGCGGCAGCCCACGCCCTCCATCACCTCCGGGCAGGTGTAGATGCGACCCATGAGCACCGCGCACACCAGCATCTTGCCGTCGGCCGCGTAGCCCTGCGCCACGTCCGGATTGGGCGACAGATAGATGCCACACCCGTACCTGTCCACCACCACCACTGTAAGTGCGGCGGTGCGTGTCGTGTGTCGTGTGCGTGTGTGTGTGTGTGTGTCGTGTGTGTGTCGTGTGTGCGTGTGCGTGCGTGTGGAGAAAGAGAGGTTGAGGTGCGGACCAGCCAGAGTCGGTGACGTGCTCGACGCCAGGGGCGGTGCCGGGCACGAGGAGGCCCTTGTTGGTGATCGATGGAATCAAATCGCCGCGCGTGCCTGCAACATACAATGGACAAAACCCAGGTGAGCCGCCCAAACAAGCCAACAATGAAGTCCTTCCGGGGTGAGGGTACCGTGAAAGGCGAGCGTGGTCTGGGACTCGGCGGCGGTGCTGCCGTAGGTGGCCTTGAATTCGCTCCACTTGCGGTCAAACTTCTCCACCAGGTCGTACTTCATCACGTTCGTGATCGTCACCGAACCTATTGCGTGTCGTGCGTGTCGTGTGTGGTGAGCTCACCGAAGAGACGGCCAACCAAGAGGCACACGCGCGCGTACCATTCTGCTTGGCGCAGGAGAAGAGGAATCCCTCGAGCACCGACGTGTCGGCGAAGAAGCGCGTCGACTTCCAGTCGCTGTCGCCCACGATCTTGCCCTCGGCCTTCTCCCGCATCCGCTCCTTGTCGCCCCACCCGAACCCGAAGCCCGGCCACGCCTTCTTCTTCTTCTTCGTCGTCGTCATCATCGCCTCCCGCTCGTCGATCTGGGCCAGCTCGCTCCGCACCCACTCGTCGTGGTCCATCTCCTCGGCGCGCATCAGCTTCTCGATGAGCTTGCGGCTCATGGCCCCCTCCTCCTTGGCCTTCTTCGCACGCTCGCGCCTGTGTGTCTCCTCCTCTTCCTCCTGCAGCAGCCGCACGATCAGCTCGTCGCTCGTCATCTCGGCCGCCTCCGCCGTCTCGTCGGTGCGGCGTCGCTTGCCGGCCGGCTCGCCGCCGCCATCGCCAGTGCTGAGGGACTTGGCCAGCGCCTCGTCCTCCGCCTCGCGCTTGCGCTTCTCGCGGTCCTCCTCCTCGAGCAGCTGCAGGGCGAGCCGTCGGTCGCGCTCCGTCAGCGAGTCTTGTCGCACCAGCTCGCGCCAGCCCTTCGTCATCGTCGCCGCCGCCGCCGAGTCGTCTCCTTCACTGCTGCTGATCAGCAGTCGTCGGCGCCCCGACGTCGGCCGCTCGGTCGCCTCGGCCTCGGCCGGCGTTGATGCGTCAGCAGCGCCGTTCTCGCTGCGGGCCAGCTCGCGCGCGTATCGCTCGTCCTCCTCCTCCATCCGCTTCATCGTGCGATAGGCGTCGTCTTCGATGGCCTGCAGCGCGCGGGCCAACACCAGGTCCCTGTCCTCCTCCGCCGCCGCCTCGCCCTGCTCCTCCCCCGCCGCGCTCGCCGCGCCAGTCTCGCCCTGGCTGCCCTGCGAGCCGCCGGCGGTGGTGATGACCTTGGCCTTGGCGCCGTTGAACTGGCCCTTGAAGATAACCTCGCCGGCCTGCGCGCCGCTGAAGATGTCGGCGAACACGTTGCTCAGGTTGCTGAACTCGCGCTGCTTCCGCATCTCCTGCGCCGGCGTGAGCTTCTCGTACTTCCCTTCGCGACCACCGTCATCGTCAGCATCATCGTTTCTTCTTCCGCTCTCTATCGCTTTCGCTTTGACCTTTGCTGCGTCGGCTCCCTTGCTCGTCGGCGACAAGGCCGACGAAGACGAAAAAGAAGAGGAAGAAGGTGGTGGAGGAGGAGCTAACGTGGGTGGTGGAGCAGAACGGACGTGTCGATCGTCGTCGTTGTGAGAAGAAGTGAGGAAGCGGTGCGGGTTATCAAGGATGTGCTGCAGGCAGCTATCGACGTTGCTGCCGGCGGCGCTGATCACCTCGCCCAGCTGCTTCTCGGTAAGGTCGGGAAACACCTCCCTCAGGCTCTCGCCCTGTTCTCATCGAGTCAGTCACAAATCCCCCACCAAGGGTGACGAGCTAAATCTCCCAAATGAGAAAACAAAAACGAAAGTAGCAGGCGCAGCGTACCAAACGTCTTTTCTCTGACGGCCCCAAGAACGTGACCGGTGGCTGGTACTCCATCTCCCTCTTGTGTTTGTTCTTCTTGTCGCCTACTTTTTGTTCTTGGAAGGGCTCCCTGCCTTCACCTTTCTTCCTGGTATTCTTTTTATTTTATTTACTTTTATCTTTTTATTTGAGGAGATTCCACTTTGTGTACATTCTAATGGACCTGATTAATCAGAAGTATGAAAAGGGGTGAAGAGAAGACGGTGATAGAAGAGCAGATAGTTATGAACATCAATAAATAGTGTGATCGATCGAGTCGCCCGCTGATTAGCAGATGCAGGTCCCCGTGCGCGGCCTGGCCGACGTTGGTACGGCTCCCGACGAGTGCGCGTAGCTGCGGGTCCGCCCACCGTGCGCGGGGATAGGAGGTAGCGGCCTGCGCGCGCCCCAACCGCTGCGGAACGGCGGCTGGGGCACCACATCGACGGCGGCCAGCAGCTGGGACTGCGGCTGCGGTGACTGGCGCGAGGCTTGGTGGGGAGGCTGGGCGGTCGAAGGCGGTAGCACAGGGGGCATCGTCATCCTGTACGACGCCTTCGACGCCAGCGAAGTCGCGGCTGGGCTGGTCGGCACCCGTAGCATGACGGGCGGGAGCGCGGCGGGCTGGCGCCAGCTCGCCACCGAGTGCCTCGGGCCTGCGGCGGGGGTCGCGGCGTTGGTCCTGGCCGAGGCGGTGGTGTGCCGATGATGGTCGATCTCGCCGTCATCGTCGCTGGCCTCGTCGAGCTCGACGTCGATCTCGACCTCGGGCATGGCCGTGGCCAGCATGGTGGGACTGTCGTAGGTGGCCGTGTCCTCCTCGATCATGATGCTGAACGTCTCGTGGTCGCTGATCGTCATGCGGCCGTAGTTGTGACCCACCACCGGGTGGAGCTGCCGCGAGTCCGACGACGAGCTGAACACGAACACGGCGTCCGTGTAGCGCGCATCGTAGGTGAGCTGGCTTCCGTCGTCGCTGTCGCTGTCGGCCTGCATGTTGTTGAGATCATCGCCCGACGACGATGCGTTGTAGGGTCCTTCCTGGGCCGACCGCCTCTGCCGTTTCTTGTTGGCCTTGGTCGACTTCTTCTTCTGCTGCTTGAACGAAGGCGCCTTCTTCAAGTCCTTCGTCGTGGTCGAGGTCGGGGCAGTCGCGTCCATCTCCTTGGTCGAGGCCAGGTCGCGAATGTCGGCCGACATCTTTCTGAAGTAGGACCTCATCTCCGACGTCTTGTTGAAGAGGAACGACGCCGCCTTCCGCAGCCTCGGCTTGCTCTCGCTGCTGGTATCGGTTGAGTCGCGTAGCTCTTGGTCGATGGCCTGCAGTTGGTCGGGCACGTCGGCGCCGCCGAAGACGCTGTCCCTCTCGAGCTCCTTGGCCTTACCCACCGATACGGTGGAGTCCTGCTCTTGGCTCGTGTCGAGGTCGCTGGCGGCCGCCTCCTTCTCCTTGTTGAGCCCTTTGATCGACTTCTTCTTCTTCTTCTTGGCCTTCGTCGTCTTGTCCTTCTTCGTCTTCTGCTTTATCTTTGAGCCTTCCTTCTTCCTCTTCTCCTTCTTTCCATCTTTCTTCTTCTTTGTCTTCTCCTTCTTCAGCTTGGGGGTGATGGTCGTTGAAGAGGGCGGTGGTAGCGTGACGCAAGATGTGGTGAGGTCCGCGGCCATGCCCAGATGCCGCTCTAGCTCAGCCATGCGCGAGCTGATGTACTTGTACTCCTCCTCGGGCGACGCGAAGACCGGGTAGAGGGCGAAGGTGCTCGTGCCATGCCCACCACCAGCCACTGGCACCGTGCCTTCCCGACTCATCGTGATGTGTTGTGTGCTGTGCTCTGCAAGTTGTGAAGGAGAAGAGAGAAAGAGTAGAGAGTATGGAGAATGGAGTAGAAGAAGAACGTGTGGTGTCTGGTGTGCGGTGTGGCTGGTGCGTTTGGTGAATGTGCTCGCCACGCGAGCGGGAGGGTATAAGTAGAGGAAGTAGTTTCAACCTTGTCCTTCTCGTTGCGTGAGTAGTACTGCAACAGGCGGCAACCAGAGAGGCAATACGATCTCCCGCCCCGTTCGTGTAAGCGAAGGTGGAGCATGCGCGACGAACTGCCAGGACAAGCACCAGAAATCCACGGCTTCGAGGGCGGCCGACGGTGGTGGAAAGCGCGCGGTCGGCGAAATTCCATGCATTGCTCGCTCTCTGGTTTTGTTGTCGACCAACATTGAGCAACGAAGATGGAGAAGGAAGTATGAGTGGGCGGGAAGAAGGTGCACGAGAGGAACTGCCAACCACGCGAAATACACTCCTCGGTCGGTCACGTCGTTATGTGAGCACTTATGGAGAAAAGGAAGGGAGAAGAGGTGGAACGCAGAGTTACGGGCTCTCATCTCGAAGAAGGCGACGCACAATACACAACACAACGCAACACCAATGGCCGAACGTGTGGAGAGACCACGAGATCGAAGACATGTGCGGTCACGCACACAATAGAAAGACGAGCAACAGAAGAGAAGTCACTTTATGGGAGCGAGCCAACAGGTATGGACACATGAAGCAAAAGTTGTAGGTCGTGTGAAAGAGAAGGAGAAACGGAGATGAACGAAGGCGCGACGGAACGGGAGGTGATGATGGTGGTGGTGAAATGTACGTCTGTCTAGGAAGCGGTGGCGGCGGGGAGGTTGTTCGCGAGCCAGTCGAAACCCTCGTAGAGGCCCTCGCCGCTGGTGGCGATGGAGCCCTGGACCTTCCACTGGCGGCCCCTCACGTTGTTGAGGCCCAGCTTCTCTGTGATCTCTGCGACGGACAGCGCCTGGGGCAGATCCTGCTTGTTGGCGAAGACGAGCAACGAAGCGTCCCTGAGAAGGGGTTCGTTGAGGAGAACGTCGAGTTCGCCCTTGGCCTGCTCGACTCGAGTGTGATCGTTGGCATCCACGACGTAGATGATACCGCGAGCGTTCTCATAATAGAAACGCCACAGCTTCCTGATCTACGAAAAGAAATCAGAATTGAATCAAATTAGATCATCACCAACGATTCTTCAGTAATCTGATGGAGGCGAGGGGGTACCTTGTCCTGACCGCCGACGTCCCACACGTTGAACTTCAAGTTCTTGTACTCGACCGTCTCGACGTTGAAACCTGCCGATTACAATGGTAAGAGGATACAATTCAAAGAACAGGAAGGGAAGATTTGGGGGGGGGGTATACCGATGGTCGGGGTTGTCTGTACGACCTCACCAAACTTCATCTTGTACAAAATGGTAGTCTTACCGGCAGCATCCAAACCCACCTGCAGGCACAAGCCGAACTTGAGCTTCCAATTCACAAAAATTGATGGATGAATGAGGAAAGGAGTGCAGCCATACCATGAGGACTCTGACCTCCTCTCCATACCACCACCATGTGGCCAGCATCTTGGTGAGCGAAAGTCCCATTTTGCAGCGATGTACAAGTCTTTACAGAAGGCGATCGATTTGATGGATGGATTTTGTTGGCGCGCGGCAATCGACGTCTCTGTGCCCACGTCGGCGGACTTTGCGGAAAGGGGAAAACAGCGACGTCTCACCGTCGACAACGTCCGCGAAACCTGGCAGGAAAGTTGCCTTGGCCACGGACACTGAGGGGCAAGCCACAACACAAGAAGAAGCACAGCACCATCAGGGCTCACGAGCCATCGTTCGGCCTGACCTAGCTCACACGGTCACACCAGGGCGGAGAGGGATAACGCGTGTTGTGGAGGAATGCGTAATATATGGCTGTGCCGCTGCTGGTGCATTGTTTGAATAAAACACAGAATTACGGTTGCAATTCCGGAAGCCGAACAACCAGAACGTTGGGCACGGGGGGGGGTCAGACCAGCACGAGAAGGAGGAAGAGGCCCAGGCATCGAATTGATTAGATTGCAGGAGTACAAGAAGTTCTGCAAGGCAAGTGCACGTGCAGCGCGGGAAGGAAGGAACAAAAAATGAAGAAAATTCAATCGAACCTCAATGTATCGACAGAGGACCCGCTCAAGATTTGGGATCTGACGGAACGGCTGGGCGAGGGCGGGGTGGGCACGGTGTGGAAGGCCATCAACAAGCGCAACGGCCAAGTGGCTGCCGTAAAGATCATCGGCCTCGACGGCAACGACGAAGGTCTGGAGGACATTCTGATTGAAATCAACATTCTCAAGGATTGCCAACACGAAAATGTGGTTGGTTATTATGGCTCCTACCTCAACAAGGGCAAGGAGTTGTGGGTGCGCTCGTCCTCCTGCATTTTATTTCATCCATCAATTAATTTCCTATCTCCCCTCCCCATTCATCCATTTGTGCTACTTTAATTTTCTTAATTCACATCCACACCGCGTGACGATTCTGCCGGCAGAGAGAGCACATCTCAGCCCCAACTCATGGCTTTGGTGGTTGTTTGGTGTATTGGTGGTGCACGAGCAGATAGCCATGGAGTTCTGCGGCGGCGGTTCGGTGAGCGATTGTGAAGACATCCTGGACGAGCCGCTAACTGAGGAGCAGATCGCCATCATCTGTCGCCAGTCGCTGCGGGGCCTCGAGTACCTCCACAACCAGAAGAAGATCCACCGTGACATCAAGGCCGGCAACATCCTCCTCACCAAGACCGGCGACATCAAGCTCGGTACGCCCAGCGCAACCCACATTGCGTCCGCGACATCGCACACGCACACGCACCACCGCACACGCACACACGGCGTGGTGCTAACTTTTGTTTCTCTTTCATACACGCATGTCTGAAATGCAGCCGACTTTGGCGTCTCGGCGCAGCTCACTAGCACGCTCTCAAAGAAGAACTCCTTCATCGGCACCCCCTACTGGATGGTACGGTGTCGCCGCCTCTTCCCGCGTATGCGGAGGCCAAGTGCGCCATGGAAGCCTTTTTCTGAATATTATGTCGTCTCTCGTACAACATGACACGACACAGGCGCCGGAGGTGATCGAAGGCGAGCACTACGACTTCAAATGCGACGTGTGGTCGCTGGGCATCACCGCCATCGAAATGGCCGAGCTTCTGCCGCCCTACTCGGAGGTACTGCTTTCTCCACCCTTATTAATTGAAATAAATAATAAATAAAAATAGAAATAATAATCATCACATTTTTGTTTCAATGCTAATATATAATTTATATGTTATAAATTAACATTGCCTCCTTCTGTCAACGCAGATCCATCCCATGCGAGCCCTCTTCCAGATCCCCAAGAACCCGGCGCCCAAGCTGCAGGACACCGAGAAATGGTTCGCGTGTGTTTGACGCTGTGGATTGTTGGTTTTTTTTTGTGTTGGGTTGAGCGCGGTGGAGGTGGTCGCGACCGACTGACGCCGCCGGACGACGCAATGCAGGACGCCAGAGTTTCAGGACTTTGTCAAGCGGTGCCTGGTCAAGCTGCCCAAGAAACGCGCTTCCGTCAAGGAGCTGCTCGAGGTCGGTGCACTCCAAATCTCCTATGCGTGTGTCGCTTATCTTGTGTATGCGGCCGGTTTCTCACGTTCTGCGGCTTTCTCTTGCGGCTTCCCCACGGTGCCAAAAAAAAAAACAGCATCCCTTCATCACAAAAAACCGCAACAAGGCCGGACTCATTGAGCTCATTGATCGCTGCAACGAGGCCGTGGCCCAAAGGGGCTACCGCTTCGCCTCCGACTCGGACGAGGACGACGACTCGGTATACAGTCTCACTCACTCGCACCGGCGTGTGCACACGCCATCGCACGCAACACACGCCATCGCACACCATCACACTGCGAACAACTAGCGCTGACTGTACTTACGTGCCCTCTGCGCAGGCTTCGGAGGTGGGCGACACCTGGAAGCGCGGTGACCTCTACAAAAAATCCAACGAGGACGACTCGAGCGACAGCGACGACGAGTCCGAATCGGACGACGAGGCGTCCGAGGTGCGGAAGCAGCCGGCCGCCGCGGCCAAGGGTCCGATCGTAAAGGTGGAGAACGAGAACCGGGAGGTGCGGGAGCGGCTCGAGGCCGAGCGGCGGGCCAAGGACGACGTCGCGCCCAAGCCGCCGCGAAAGGAGGAGCCCGTCGACAGCGGCAGCGAGAGCGACACCGAGGACGATGACGACGACGCCAACTGGGGCTACGACACTGTGAAGGGCCGCCCGGCCAAGGCCAAGGCCAAGGCCAAGGACACGCTCGAGCGCAAGCACAGCAAGAAGGCCGCCGCCGTAGCCGGCGCGGTCAAGGAGCCCGAGGAGGGCGAGGTGGTGGACGACGTGCTCGCGAGGAGCATGGCCGGCGCCAAGATCGAGGGCGAGGGCGGCAAGAGGAGCAAGCTGGCCGGCGGGACCTGGAACGGCGGCGACAACAACAAGGCGACGGTGAGGTCGACGTGGAGGAGGAACCTCTGGAAGCAGCTCGCCGGCGGTGGCCCCGGCATGTGAGCGGTCCGCGCGCGGCCCTTTGCTCTGAGGGTGGTGTCTCGAGTAGGTAGGCGCGTGCGCGTGCGCGTGCGTTGCGCGGCGCGGCGCGCGTGTTGGTGTGTGGAGAGGTGGCAAGCGTTGTTTATAATCCGATTTTTGTGTTGAGGGCTTGCGCCACACACCCATTCACTTCTCTTTTCCTCTCCGTCCTGTGGTGGCGCTTCGAGTGCGATTATCATTCGCGGTGCTTGCAACCGCTCTTCTTTCTTTTCTCGGCGTCGGTCTTCCTCTCCGTCTTTCGCCTCTTCTTTGACGTCGTCTCCTTCCTTTTCTTCTTCGTCTCGCTGCTCTTCTCAGAGCTTCGCTTGCGCTTGCGCATCTCGGACTCCTCGCCGCCTCGAGCTTGGCCTGCGTTGACTGGCGCCAGCCGCGTGTTCGTGGTATCCGCGCGTCTCTGTTCGTCCAGCAGCTCGCTTCCCAGTCTCCGGCCTGGGCTTGAGGGGAACAATCACACACGCACATGCAGGTGCAGAACTAACCAAGGTAAGCTCCACTGAACGACGATGTCTGAACGTTTTGAAGCGGCGAATGGGTTGGTTCGCCTTACCTGGCGTGCAGGCCTGGTCGTTTGTGAGTTTTGAAGCGGGAGCGGCTACGATGTTCCAGCAGTTGAAGGCCAGATGCCCGCTGCCTCGGCACTTGGTGCAGGTGGCCAGGCTGCCAGTCCCGCAGCCGCCCTTGGACGCCGTGGCCCGGGCGAGAAGGGCACGGAACTGGTCATAGCCGCTGGCGAGGTCAGCGGAGGTAGGGCCGGTTGTGCTGGAGTGACTGCCGTTGTGGTGTCGCTGGATGGGCGCGTGGGGGTCGTAGCCGATGCTGTCCTGCCACACCGCGTGGGTCGACAGCGCGCCTCCACCGTAAATCCTGTTCTGGTTGGGGTATCTGCGTCGAGACATGCCAATGTTTGTAGTGTGTTTCTTTACTGCCTGGTTTGTCGCGCTTTTGATATATTTTCTTCGGCCAGAAAAAGAAGAGAAATAGTCAGAAAAAGCACAGCTTCGTTCTTTGGCGAAGCGGCGGACTTCGCTCTTTGTCCCCCCCCCCATTCGCCCTCAAAGCACGGTCAGGAAAGGATGCACTTCTTGTCCCTGGACCCTCCCGAGGGCGGACCAGGTCGAGCAGAAAGCGTAGCGGAGCAGCCAGCAGCTCCCTCGCGTTCTCCACGCGATTCTCCTACACCGGCCGGCGCACACCATCGAAGCCGCATGAGTGGCACCGCTCTCAAGAAGAAAGAGAAGAAGCAAAGTGGAAGAGAGGCACCAGAAGACGGAACTCGAAGGGCTTGACGCCCTTGAGCACGTCTTCGTCCTTGGTCCAATCGAACAGTCCCGGGCTTGTGTTTGGGGCCTGGTGCGCGGCGCCCAGGTGAGAGGAATTGCCGCACGCAGCAGCTTAAGCAAGTGGTGGCTGGGCACTCGTACAAACAGGATCCTGTCGTGCAGCTTCTCTGTTCACATTCAAGATGCACTTCATAGAGCTGCCCCCAGCAGCCATCCAGGCTCTCCTCTGGCCAATGCTATGACATAGAGGCAGTTGACACAGCGCACAGCAAGGGCCTGCTTTAGCATGGACACATGCAATGCTGCCTCCCCCTTTTGGAATCCTGCCTACAAGATGAAGATGGGGATGAAGGAGAGGGCAATGGGTTGCAGTTGTGTGATGTTGAGAATGTCAGCAAAAGAGAAGTTATCAAGGCATTTCTTGCAACAACAGAATGATGCAAGAACAGTATTGATGTGATCATTGCTGACAAGCAGGCAACACTTTTTGGGGATTCACTCTTCAGCAGTTCAGAGAACTCTCTTCCTTGGAGTATGAGCTGTGGCTCATAAGGACTGGCCAAAGATTGGGGATAGTAGGGTAGAGGTGAGGACCTCAGTGTTGGTGGGGAGAGAGTGGCTCATTGTGGTGGAGAATGACTGTATGACACTGGCAAGGTATTTAAACATTTGGTGTGATATCTCCAATTCCCAATGGCCACATAACAGATAGATGTGGTTCTTCTGGATTGGCAAACATTTGTGTTTCTTGGAACTCCAGACCAATGAGCTCACAACAGTGGAGTTGAGGAAAATACTGGACAAATTAAAAAACCCAATGCGCATCAGGTTTTTTATTTGTCAACTCTTTTCCTGATGCACATCAGGAAACAGGACAACAAATTAAAACTGATGTGCATCAGGAAAAGAGTCAACAAATAAAAAACCCAATGCACATCGGGTAGCAAGTCAACAAATACAAAACCCAATGCACATCAGCTCTCCAGACCACATGAAATTTCGCCACCTGTTTCCAGTCCCTCCAATTAGAATTTAATGCAGACAGCTTTTTTGTAGACCTTCACTACCTATAAAATGTCAAAACCTGTTTTGATCATTTTGTTGTACCACCCATGTTCAACACACACTTCCTTACAATGTCTTCTTGCCAAGCTGCCTCAGTCCTTCCCAACTTCTCAGCCATGTCAGCCACTGAGCTTCTAGCAAGCTCCCATAATGCCCTGGCAAAGGTGCACCAGCAACCTGGCACCAAGGTTATCACCAAGGCATACATTGACAGGTTGCTGCAGGTGCAGGGCCAAGACACTGGCTGCACAAAGCAGCAGTCTCTCAAACTGCTAATGCAGTGTACACCAATGACAGCAGAGGAGGGAGTGAAAGAGCTGATGGATGTGGAAGAGGAAGAGGAGGAGGAGCAGATGGAGGATAAGGAGGAAGAGCAGGAGAAGGAGCTGGAGGAGGAGGAGGAGAAGCATGGGGAGGAGCAAGTGGAGGAGGAGAAGGGGGTGGAGCTGGAGGAGGAGAAAAAGGAGGAGAAGGGAGAGGAAGCACTGGAGGAGGAGTGGGAGGAGGAGTTGGAGGTGGAGAAGGAGCTAGAGGAGGAGGAGGAGCTGGAGGAGGAGGAGCACCAAGCACCACCAAGGAAGCACAAGCTGGTAGAGGAAGAGCACAAGGAGAGGAAATGTGCACACCCAGTGGTGATTGACCTGGACAAGGAGATGGAGGTGGAGGAGATCAAGACCAAGCCTCACAAGCAGCTGGTGGTGTGCCAGTACTCTGAAGGCAACACCAAAGAGCAATGCAAGGAGGCTGCCAGACTACTTGCCCTGCCTGACCTGGAGCTTGGTATGTACACTTTGTGTGCATTGGGTTTTTTATTTGTTGACTTGTTTCCTGATGTGCATTGGGTTTTTTATTTGTTGACTTGTTTCCCAATGCACATTGGGTTTTCTATTTGACCTGTGAAAATCACATTCTCTAACAGTTTGTGTTGCTGACCTCAACCTTACTATGCAGAAATGAAAATTCATATGCTCTTGAGCAGAGGAGGCCTCCCTTGCCTCAATGTCCACAAGTGAACAGTGCTGGTGTCTCTCTGTGTTGGCCAAGGGGAAAATGGTACAAATCAACTCCTTCCTGTTCCAATTCACACCCCATTACTTTCACTTACACCACTATTATCTAACTTCAGCCTGCAGTACCCACTGCCACTGAAGCTTCTGGCACCACTCCAACCACCCCAACCAGTACGTTTTCATTTTGCTGGTAAAGTTCCAAGCTCACCACATGCTTGTTCTTTACAGCTACCAAGAAACATGGCAAGGGTAAGGCTGAAGAGGAAAAGTTGCCATCTACCATCAAGCACAAGGCAGAGCTTGCTCTCCAGAAACAGTATCTCCCCCAATTCACTGAGCCGCTCACCAAGCTTCTTGGCCAACCAATGCAATTCCATGAATGGCTGGTGTGTTTATTGTCCTGCATTGTTTTCCTGATGTGCATCAGTTTTTTTATTTGTTGACACTTTTCCTGATGCGCATCAGGTTTTATTTGTCAACTCTTTTCCCCAATGTGCATTGGTTTTTCTAATTTCACTTATTTCCTGATGTCCACCGGTTTTTTTCTTCCACAGGTGTTGATCTACCTGCATGACTTTACCATCCACAGTGTGGACATTCCTCTCAACATTGAGGACACACTCTCCTCTACCCCCATAGCAGAGGGCAACATCTCCTCTCTCACCAACTGGCTCCTCACCTTCCACTCTAAATTCCTGTAGGAGTCAGATCTCACAGCCATCACTTCCTTCCTACAAGGCCTAACTTCACATCCTGCCCTTGCCCCTCTCACACCCAAGACCAGCTCCTCCTCCTCTTCCAGTCCATGGAAAGTGCAGAAGTCCATTGGCTTAATATAACAAGTGTCTGTTGTGGTCACACCACTATATCATACATACAATGATATGGCATAACAATTTGCATCCCCTTATGATGAGTCCATTGTCTCTCAGAAGGTTCCTCTTGCCTCCACCTGTTGCTTTGAGCAACAGAAGCCGTCATAGCAGAATGCGCCGCATGTGCCAGCCAATGGTGTATTTTGGCATCTTTCCTTTTTGCACTTTAGGGGATTTGCGAGCCCAGGGCTTTTCATCTTTACTCTTCCCACCGATGCAAGTGAACACACCCTTCCTCTTCCTTGTACTGCTCACCCTGGCCTGTGGGGTCCACTCCGTGCCCAGGCCTGGGCTGTTCTCGGTGCTGGCCGACCGTGAACTGTGGGTGTTTGAAGACCCCACCTCGCTGGTGACCTTCTCGCCCAGCGCAGTGGTGGGCGATCTTCCGCTTCATCATGAGAGGATTGTCTCCGCGGTGGCCAGTTCCAAGCCTGGTGGCAACTTCGTGGTGGTCGGTTCGCAGACCGTCGCAGTGCAAAGGCAAGCGCACCGCCCCTTCGAGCTTGCCTTCAACTTTCACCCGGAGATCACCCTTTATGACGCCACCAACGTTCCCACCACCGGTGTACGTACCTTACTTCTCACAAAAGTGTTTCTAGGGATTTATTAATTGTGCGGCGGTTCCGGTTTTAGGTCTTCGTGGCGGTCGGTGTCAACAGGTCGGCAAGTGGGTCTAAGGAAGAGATTATGTTTTTTCGCTCCGAAGATGGTGGTTTCAGTTGGACCTCCTCATCCTCCTGGCCCAGTCAGAGCTACACCAATGCCTCCAGCGGCTTCTCCTTCTCCCCTTCTGGCGACTTCGGCCTCTGCAGTATGCCCCTCTTGTTGTTTTGTCCCTTTACGCTTGCGACTCAAGGTGACTCACAAACCCTGCCAATGCCTGAAACTGCAGTGTTGGGTGACCACATGTTCCGTACCGTGGATGGGGGACGCTCATGGGTGAAAACCGCCTGGAATGATGGAAGGGGTCAGGCGGTGTCGGTGGCGGTCCTTGACCCGTCTCTCGCGGTGGTCACCATCGACTCACGGTATGGTGGGGGCATGGTGCTCATCTCCACCGACGCTGGGGCCACCTGGCAGCCGCTCCTGGAGGCGAACATTGGAACAGGGTACGGCATCGTGCTCTTCGACCGGCAGACTTGGGTGGTGGCCACCCAAGTCCCCCGGACCGGACAGATCTGGCGCACGACGGATGGCGGCAAGACGTGGGCACGCACCTTTGCCCAGCCCAACACCGCCTGGACGGGCTTGGCCTACAACTCGGACTGGGGCGCCCTTCTTGCCGTTGGCTACTTCTACAACGACTCCGTTAGCCACAGCGCAGGCGCGATGGCCCTCTCGTGGGATATGGGCGGCCAGTGGTTGCTCTCTGGTCCGCTGGACAAGGTGCTCGACCGTGCCGTGCCTGGCACGCCCTCCTTGTAAGGCACGCACTCTGCCTAACCTATTTTAATTTATAAACATTTTTCATAACTCTTTGTCCCGCTTATCCACGTAACCAATGATGGGGTGGTTTTCTTTCTTTTCACACACACGGAGGTCACCTGCATGGGTGCGATTACAGTTGGACAGACCACACTGTTCCCCTCGCTGGGGGGCGAGGCAGAGAAACTGACCTACAATCGCCGGCATCGCAGATGTCCGTGACCTCAAATCCGCCAAAGGAATCGGTTCAGTCAGAGTCGTAGACTTGTATGCACCTACACTGGCGCAGAAAGTGTGCACCTCATTCCTCCTAGATAACGTGGACACTTAGCAAGGGTTCCGTCATCCAACTGAAAACCCGCCACCCGCAAAAGTGCGTTCACTGAGTGGTGCTTCGTGAGCGCTTCCATCCAAATCATACTCGCCGGTGGTCAGTGCTTGCCGCACACGCCAGTCGATCTGTTCTTCAATTTCGCGCCTTTTGCGTGCGTCGCGTTGCTTGTCCAAGTGAGCGCGTCTTCATCCTGTAGACCGTGGTCTCCATGTCCGTGTGTATGAAGATGGTTGTCACGTTGGCTGTGCCGAGCATGACTCGCAGCAATTCGGCGCCGGCCGCGTCGGTCACAAGACAATAGAGCACGGCATCGTTCGACGCGTGGGCGTGACGGCGCCAGACCACATCTTTTCATGAGGGTGCTCTTGCCCAAACCGCTCGCGCCCATGAAAACTACGAGTCAGCCCATGGCAGTTTGGCGGGTGGTTCGTTGAGGTTGATCGCGTCTCGGCCCCGCAGCCAAAAGGAAGAAGAACAAGAGAGGCAACCAGTAACGGATATCCGTAGTTGCAATGATCAGTTGATCACCTGTACAGGAGCGGCAACCAGCACCACTTCGAATTCTTAGAGTGGGCAGAGGAGATGGGACCAAGTTGCTAAAAGACGAGTCCCTTTCGCCAGCAAAGTGCTCTCACGTTGTGGCGTTTGTGACGATTTACAGAAACTCAAGCAGCACACCAAAAGGTTAGGGTTAGGGTTAGGAGTGAGAGGAGAGCAAGAACGTTGTTACCCACACACACCCATTCCATCGCGAACACGCACAACCAAACAGGCCATGCACAACTCTACCCTGGTGAGCCTGCTCACTTCCATTCAGATGCATAAAAAATGAGGCTCCACATGCGCGGATCGAGTCGGGCCTCGTGCATGAACAACTTGTAGAAGTAACCGTGTTCGTCGCAGTCGTCGGCCGGCCCAATGCCCACGTCGGGGCGGTGGTCGCCGCCTATTCCTTGCCACGGCCTGGCCTCGTCGCGGCGATGCAGGCGCGCCTTGGCTGCCAGCCACAGCCTGGCCAGCATGTTTTTGGAGTCGACATCCGCGAGAGTCTGCCCGCAAGGCACCTGCAGGGCGCGCGGCGCAGAGAGCGTGGCGGGCATACTTGGTCAGCACCAGGTCACCCATGTGTTGGTCACTGGCATCGCTGATGTAGGGATCTCGCTGGCGCCGACGGTGGCGCCGCCGGGGCCGAGGCCCGTGATGACATCGAGGCCAAGCGCGCTCGCCACCGTCGCGCCGGAGAGCGCCTGGCGGTGGACAACGACGTTGTTGGCCCTCAGTTCGAGCGTCGGTGCAGTGTCGAGGGACAGGCCGAGGGCGATGCCCTCGCGGCCGTTGAATTCTTCGGCCAGAAAAAGTTCGGAAAAAGCATAGCTTCGTTCTTTGGCGAAGCGGCGGACTTCGCTCTTTGTCCCCCCCCCCACTCGCCCTCAAAGCACGGTCAGGAAAGGATGCACTTCTTGTCCCTGGACCTGGCTGCCGGCTCCTCCTCGGAGCCCTTCTTCTCGTCAGCGGCCTCCCGAGGGCGGACCAGGTCGAGCAGAAAGCGTAGCGGAGCAGCCAGCAGCTCCCTCGCGTTCTCCACGCGATTCTCCTACACCGGCCGGCGCACACACCATCGAAGTCGCGTGAGTGGCACCGCTTTCAAGAAGAAAGAGAAGAAGCAAAAAGGAAGAGAGGCACCAGAAGACGGAACTCGAAGGGCTTGACGCCCTTGAGCACATCTTCGTCCTTGGTCCAATCGAACAGTCCCGGGCTTGTGTTCGGGGCCTGGTGCGCGGCGCCCAGGTGAGAGGAATTGCAGCAAGCAGCAGCTTAAGCAAGTGGTGGCTGGGCACTCGTACGAACGGGTTCAGTTCGACGACGATGAGCTGGCCGTCAGGCAGAAGGGCGAAGTCGATGGCGTAGGTCGAGGCCGGGATCGTGTCGCGCAGCTTCTCCTCATAGAAGCTGCGGATCTGTTGTGCGATGGCCTCCTTCTTCTCCACCGCCTCGCGTACAAAGCAAAACTTGTAGTAGTGCGTGACTGTGTGCGTGTGTCATGCCGTGTGCGGTACCGTGTGCAGTGCGAGTTGAGTGTCAGTAAATGCTGTTTGGGCAGCGGCCTGTTAGCGATGGGTACCAGCAGTGAGTTGTCGGTCGTAGACGAAGCCTCTGCCAATGAGAAAACAAAGTTAGCCAAATGCCTGCTGCACATTGGAGGCATACATGGAGAATTCGGACCTGAACTCGAGCTCGGGACGAAAGTCGAGCCATTTCCTGATGACTATGTTCACGCTCAGCTCATCGCCTTCCTCTTCCCTTCGCGTCGCCAGATGGCGATCCACTCGATCACTGACGCACACAGCGAGTCAGAGACCGGCACAGTACACGGCGCACGGCGCACGGCGCACTACATGCACGACACGACAAAAGAAAAACCTGCGGATGAGGAGGTCCATGGCTTCGGCCCCGTTGGTCACGCGGCAGGCGAGGCAGCAGGCCATGTTGATGGCGATGATCTCGGCGTCCTCGTCGCCCGCCGCGGCGCCCTCCAGCTCGGCCTCCAGAAGGCCCTTGAGCTTCTCCGACTGCCACTTGACCGCGTCCTTCGGGCTGAGCGTCGAGATGCGGACAAAGGCAGCCCCGCCCAAGGCCTCAATCGCCTCCTCCACCTGCGCTCGCAACTGTGTGGCGTGTGGCGTGTGGCGTGTGGCGTGTGGCGTGTCATATTGTGGGTCATTCCACGCACGAAAGTGCTGCGAAAGAGAAGAGTGCCTGCTCGACGACAGTGGCGTGGGCGGGTTCGAGGGTTCGTTGAGCGGAGCGGGCGTCGTGTGCGCGGAGGAGAGCCTGGACGGCCGCCGGGGGCAGCTCTACGAAGCGCGTCTCGAACGTGAACTCCTTGATTGCCTCGTACCAGCTGTGGGCGACGCGTGGTCAAGTCTTTCCAGACATAAACAAATTGACGATTTAAATAAATAAAATGGTTAAAAAAATTAAAAAAGCAATAACGCTGCAAATGGAGAGGGTACCCTTCCACGGCCCAGTCGAGCTTATCGAACTTTTGTTGCTCTTCACCTTCCATCTTGCCAATAAACTTGAAACGTAAAGTAAAATGAAATGTGAAATGAAAAAAGAAAAAGAAAACAATAAGTAAAGTATTGTTCCACTCGTGCGAATCAGGTCCGAGAGATGAGAAGAACCACGGCAGCAACCATGGCACAGGGGAGGGTGGTCACTACCGCAACTTTCTCCACCTCTGCGTGGCTTCGGCGTTGTGGCAGCGAGACGACTTCAGCGCTGATGCCGTCTACATCTTCACTCGGTCGCAGCGCCGCCTCGCGAGGGGTGGCTTCAGCACGCCTGCACTACCCTCGGCCCCGAACAAGCTTGTTCGGTGATGCCCCCGGCAGCCGTGGGGCAGCTGCCATCTCCTCCTCGCTGGCATTCAATCGCCATCTTCTGCCTGCAGCCTCATCTTGCAGGCGAAGACAGGCCACCGCCACCGAAGTCTCCCTCCAGAAGGTTCGCAGTAGTGGCTATGCTCAGTGCACCCTCCTTCATCCACTCTGCAGATTTATTTCTTCTATTTTGTTTATATTATAAATATATAATTATCTATTTTTAAATAAATATAACATTATATTCATATTTGGGTTCTCTACCAAAGCAGGGAGAGGGTAAGGAGGGACTGCGTCGTGTGCTCAACGCGGACCAAGCGGCGCTGCTGCAGCAGGAAATCTGTCTGCTCGAAGACGTTCTGGCCTTCCTGCAGAAGGTACGCCTACAGACTATATCACACACATTCGCTACGCAGTGCGACTCACCGCACGCGCTCACTTGACCCCCAATTCACACGACGCACACGCTCCCACGCACACCCAACAGATCGGAGCTGACCAAGAGGACGTGGAGCTGTTGAAGCAAACGAGGGAGCAACTGGAGGAGTTGTTCCTGCTCGTCGTGGTGGGAGAGTTCAACGCCGGCAAGTCGGCTTTCCTCAACGCTATGCTCGGCAAGAAGTACCTCAAGGAGGGAGGTGCGCTGCAGCCTGTCCTCCCCTCTCACATGTTGTTGTATTACTGTTCGAACGCTTTTTTCTTAGCTCACCACGACACCTGAACGCACCACACGCGCGTGTGCAGTGATTCCCACAACGAGCAAGATCACGTCGATTCGGCACGGCGAAACGGCGTCGTCTGTGCTTCCGACCGAAGAGCCCGATCGCGAGGTCATCTACCTGCCCGTGGACTGGCTCAAGGTGCGCCTCATATTTAACTGCTCAGTTTACAATGACGTTGCCGCCAAGATTGAGCAGACACCATGTAAGACATGTCAAGCTTACGACTGTGTCGACTGTGCGCTTTACCTCAGGACCTCAACTTGGTGGACACGCCAGGCACCAACGCCATCCTCAAGTATCACCAGCAGATCACCGAGCACTTTGTCCCACGCAGCGACATGGTGCGCGATTCCAGTTGTTGTTCTCTGCTGACGTTGGCGAGTTCCTCTAACAAATGATGACTTTCCCTTGGCTCACTACCGTTGCAGGTTCTGTTTGTCACCAGCTCCGACCGAGCGCTGAGCGAAAGCGAACACCAATTCCTGAACAGGATTCGCCAGTGGAAGAAGAAAGGTAAACTTCATACTTGATTCGCACAAGTGGCAAGCTACAGCTAACCTTATGCGTATGTGTGTGGCCTTCAGTTTTGGTTGTGCTGCAGAAGGTCGATTTGTTGGAGGACGAAGCGCAGCTCGAGGAGTTGCGCAGCTTCGTCGCCAAGGGAATGAGCCAGCTCCTTGGCATCCAGCCCAAGTACCCCACTCACTCCCTCCCCCCTCGCGGCCCGCGGCCGAGCCGCTCACTGTGTGTTACCACTTTCGCAGAATTTTCCCAGTGTCGGCTCGCCTGGCGCTGAAGGCCAAGCAGCTGATGGCCAAAGAGAACGCGTCGGCTGAGGTGAGGGTCACTGGTGCTAGCTACAGTCAGGCGATTGGAGGTGTATGTTCTGATATGGGCCGTTGCAGGAGAAGGCAGAGGCTGCAGCGCTCTGGGAGAAGTCCCGCTGGGCCGAGCTGGAGACCTACATTCTCAAATCGCTCGACGCCGGCGAGAGGTCTAAGCTGAAGCTCAAGAATCCCCTCGGCATCGCCCACAACCTTTTGAACAAGTACAAGGGTACGCTGCAGTTGCATGCGTGCACTCTCTTGCTGAAGTATAGTTCATACGCACAACACGAACAGATGTGACCGAGAGCAGACTGCAGGTCCTGGCCAAGGACATCACCAGCATCGAACACATTGAGGAACAGCTCGAGGAGTACCGAAAGGTGTGTGCATGTGTGAATATATATTGTCTACATCGTTCAGTGTATGTGCGATGCTATTCGTTACTCATTGTTCGTTTTTATTTTTGTCTTGTCTTGTCAACAGGAAATGAAGAGGGACTACGAGTTCCAGCAGAACCGAATCGACAACGTGCTGCTCGAACTGGCCAATCGAGGCGACGCCTTCTTCGACGAGCACCTCTCCCTCTCCAACGTACGCCTCAGCGCCCACACGATCGCAGCCATCCTCCCGCTGATCGTTTTTCGTCGTTTTTTCGTGTGGGTGCCATGGCAGATCTTTGCGTTGGCTCGGTCTGAGAAGCTTCGTGGCGAGTTCGAGCGCACCGTCGTTGCTGAAACGGCCATCCAGATCGAACGGTGACGCACCATCTTCCAATATGCGATATCAAGGCGTTTTGCGTGGTGGCCCTGCTAAATGTCGTTGTGTCTTTATACAGGAGCGTGAGCGACCTGATCGACTGGACAGTGGACAAGAACAGCAAACAATGGCGCAGAGTTGTGGACTACGCCCTCGAGCGAGCTGCGCACCACGCGCAAGTCTGCCCGCCCCCTCCATCGCATTCTCTTCTCTTTTCATTCTTGCTTGCGTACGGTTTGTATATTCACGGCTAGCACGTACAGAGCGAAGGCCTCATTGGCAAGGTCGAATCCGAGTTCGATTACAACAGGGCCAAGCTCCTCGATACCATGGGCGCAGGGGTCCGTAACGTAGTAGCGTCCTATGACAAGACCGAAGAGGCCCGCCAGCTCGCCAACGAAGTGCCTTACTTTCCCACCTCTGTTCAATCTCGCCTCGCGGTCCCGTTTCGTATCGTGCAACTGACTGGGCGCGTTTGGCGCGATCGCCCGGTGCAGGTGCAAACTGCGATCTACTCGACGGCTGCGATAGAAGTAACGGCTCTGGGTGTCGGCTCCCTCGTGGTCGCCTCACTTCTCGACTTTACTGTACGCCTCATTACGCAGTTCTTCCCTCCCAGTCTCTGTGGTATTGCTTCAAGATAGGCGACTGATGCAGAAATTGGGCACAGGGTGTGTTGGGGGCGGGTGCTCTCGCGATTAGCGGCCTCTGTGTCCTTCCTTACAAGCGGGCTCAGGTAATGTTACATGCGATGTGTAAGCGAGGCCTGGTCGACTGATGCCAACGCGTTGCGTTGAGCAGGTCAAGCGGATCTTCAACGAGAAAATCGCAGGGCTGCGGGTGAACATGAGGGGCGTCATGCATGCGCACTTCGATAGGGTATGTGAGCCTCACGCCACCGCAATCGGACGAAGACAATGTGCCACTGAGAATCACGTTTACATATAGGAGCTCGCCGACAACATACGCAAGATCCAGGGTTCCGTGTCTCCGTACACTCTCTACGTCAAGACTGAGAAGGAGAAGGTTCGCTCCACTTGGATCAGTGTTCTTGGTCACGCACTGACTTGATCACTACAGTTGACCAAGACGAAGACAAGGATTGAGGACACGATGAAGCGAGTCTCGAACAGCATACACTCAATCGATCTGGCCTTCCAGGGCGAGTCCGCCGAGGCCCCCGAAGAGGACCTCCAGTAGTCGCCGCACACCACCGAGCGGCCAATAAATGCGTGTTTGGCATTCCTGTCCAGGCGTGCTTTTTTGCCGGCGCGTGCTGGAAGCGCTCACTCTTCACTTTCGCAAGCAGCTGACCACGTCGCGTACGCGAGCGCAATGAACGTAGAGGGCGAGAAGGGCGAAGGAACGAAAGCGAGCGGAGACTCGACCACGACGCAAGACATAGCCGCTGTGCATTCGGTCCTGCAAAGTACGCACGTCCTCTTTCTTCGCTGACGTTACGTTTTACGCGTAGTAGATACTCAAAGCTCTCGTACATCGGCCACCAGCGCTACAGCTCCAAAACGAAAAGCTTGCCAAGTATCAGGAGATAAGGTTCGTACTCGCTTCTGTTCGCGAAGAAGCAGCTTTACCTCTAACAACCTCGTTCAGCTATCGCTGGCACCAACAGGTACTTCCTTACCTGTGATCGGGTTAGGGTGTTGAGATGTGGCTCTAAGCTCTACACGCCTGGTAGCATCACCAAAACCTCAAGAAGATCATCGGTAAGTACCTCGCGAGTGAGCGTTGGGCAGAAAGCTCATGGATAACGCCCTTTTTACACAGCCGGTATCAACAGGCTGGCGGAGATGATGAGGGAGCCCTCTTCCTTGCGTAGCGGTGAGTCTTTCCGTATCGAGCCAGGTAGTGCCCTCATTCCCTCGAAATGCGGACTTTCGCTCATGCCTTCACCATATAGACGAGAGCCTCCTCGAAGGAAGCGCGCTAGACAAGCTATCTTCCTCCAGCTTTCGCTACCAAGGTACCACCATACCACTTTACGTGCACGCCAAGCAGGAATTCAACGTCACTTCGTAGAGGATAGTCGTCGAGTTCATCCGATGATGTCGCCGAGCGGAAGCTACACACCGTCAACGAAAGCGGCATCTTTCCACGACCGCGTCATGAGCTTTAAGGACTCGCTCCACTCGCATGAGCTGCGCCAGCTCCTCAGTTCCATCACCATGGACGAATTTCAAGAGCTGAGAGAAGCATCCGCGTCGGTCATTCTGCCTATCGTTGTGGATTGGCTCTACGGTACGCATACCGAACTCTCTGCAGTTACTTCGCCAACTCACAGCTTCTACTCTTCAGACCCGGTCACGCAAAGCCTGGCCCTTGTCTACCTCTGGGAGACCGCTAAGCAGTTCCCAGCGCTGTTTCGCAGAGCGGAGAACAGTCAGCTTATACTCAAGTGCTACTCAGGTGAGCTTAAGCGTTATGGTTGGCTCTCTCACTCGCTTACTGATGCTCTTTCTCAGCTCTGGACGGTGTGAGCAGCTCGGACACATTCTCGCCCGAAGAGATCACTCAAATCCGGGAGTTCATCGCCCTGGCATGCTCCAGAACCACCTCGCCTGCCATGTCTTGGTCTGTCTAAGCCAGACGCGCGACGCATTCTTCGAAACACCCTTCATCATGTTCCGCGCGTAGGAGACAAAAGGCTGAAGCGGTTGCTACCGCCACCTTAAAAAGACAAGAGGTGAAAATTCCCGGCTTTGTTGAACACAAAAAAAGAAGGAAAAAGAAAAAGAAATCAAATCTTCTTCTAGCGAGGTGGCGACGATGAGCGTGCGAGCGGATTCAGGGGAGTACGTTGCAATCTCTGCATTGCACCTTTAATTGCATGTGTACGCATTCATTCCGATTCTCACCCGTTTGTCGTCAAATTCAGTGTCGTCCGGCTAATCTTGCAGTTCCTCAAGGAGCAGTCGCTCTTCAACGCCATGCACACACTTCAGGTAGCCCAAATATTTCTTTATATATTTGATTTTATTGATGAGATAGAACTCTATTCATTTATTGATTCGCGTGGTGCGTGTGCGTAGGAGGAGGCCCAAATATCGCTCAACACGGTAGACAGCATTGAGGCCTTCACCTCAGACGTCACGCACGGTCGTTGGGACTCGGTGCTGCGCACGGTGGGCACATTTGCCCTCCCGCAGCCTCTCGTCATCGATCTCTACGAGCAGGTACGGCCCAGTTTCTTATTCTTCTTCGCATGTGAGTGCGCACGCATGCAGTGAAGTGACGTATCGGTGTGCGACACAGATTGTGATTGAGATGATCGAGTTGAAGGAGAGTGAGACGGCGCGAGCGATGCTGCGCGACACGGCGCCTATGGTGCTCCTCCGCAACAAGGACCCCGAGCGATACCTCAGGCTGCAGCGACTGATCAACAAACCCTTCTTCGATCACCGCGATGCCTACCCCGATGGCTCCAACAGAGAGAAGCGACGTGCCGTCATCGCCAAAGGTGAGTCTGGCCAGCTCATGGCCGTCTGCAAGCGCATGTGTTGACGTGTGGCGTGCGCGCGTGTGTCGTGTTGTGTTATGCGCGTGTGCATGCGTCAGCTCTTGTGGCCGAGGTGCAGGTGGTACCGCCATCGCGCCTGATGGCCCTCATCAATCAGGCGCTCAAGTACCAGCAGCTCCAGGGCCTGCTGCCGCCCGGCTCGGAGCTCGATCTGTTCCGAGGCACCACCGCCGCCCAGCAGGAAGAGGAAGAGACCTTCCCCACGCAGCTCGAGAAGATAATTAAGGTACCCGTCGTATTCTCTACTTGTGTTGAACATTAATTTAATCATTAATTGTAATTGCGATTCGAAATTGTACTTGAATAATGTTATTGCAATTGTTATAGTTCGGAGCCAAGTCGCACGCCGAGGCGGCCGCGTTCTCGCTCGACGGCCAGTCGTTGGTCACGGGAAGCGTGGACGGCTTCATCGAGGTGTGGGACTGGGTCACCGGCAAACTCCGCAAGGACCTCCAGTACCAGGCCGAGGTGCCTCTCTGTTTCTCTCTCTCTCTCTCTCTGAGGAAGATGGTGGTGATGATGAAGCAAATACTGATGGTTCGTATCTTGGCTGTGCTTACTGGGGCGTGCAGGACAAGTTCATGATGCACGCTGAGTCGGTGTTCTGCGTGAACTTCAACAAGGACAGCGAGCTCCTCGTTACGGGCAGCCAGGATGGCCAGGTGAAGGTTTGGCGTATGGCGACGGGCAAGAGCCTGCGCAAGTTCGAAAAGGCCCACGTCGAGGGTGTCACTTGCGTGTGCTTCGCCGACGATTCTTCACACATCCTCTCTGGCTCCTTCGACCACACCATCCGGTATCACACGCACACACGCATCACCGCACACTGTGCAACACATTCTGAAGAGTGCACTCGTTCGTCACGGGCATTGCAGGATTCACGGTCTGAGGTCGGGCAAAACGCTGAAGATCTTCCGAGGCCACTCCTCCTACGTCAACGCTGCCATCTACTCTGAAGATGAAAACTACGTACGACACACACATACACACACACCACCGCACACACACCACCGCACAGGCACGCGCATGACTAACTCTCGCTGTGTGTTGCTTCGCCGCCGATTCAGATCATCTCGGGCAGCAGCGATGGTACGGTGCGCGTGTGGGATGCTAAGACGACGGACTGCCTTCGCTTCTTCTCGCCAAGCGGCGCAGGACGGCACATCACCGAGCTCACCTCCATCCACTCGCTTCTCCTCTCTCCGCTCAATCCCGAGTACATCATCGTCGGCAGCAAATCCAACACCGTCCACCTCATGAACCTGAAGGTAACCCTCTTTCATCATCGTCACCATCACCACCATCACCTTCACCTTCATCTAAACGTTGTTCGTTGTGTCGAGCAGGGCAAGGTGATCAAGTCCTACTTCTCGGGGAAGAAGGACGTGATCTTCCTCAAGTGCATTACAAGCAAGAAGGGCGGCTTTATCTACGCTGTGGGCGAGGACAGGCACCTCTACTGCTTTAACGCCAACACGGGCAATCTTGACTACACTCTGATGGTACGCAGCGCTCGCTTTCATTTTCAAGTGTGCGTGCGGTCGTGCGTGTGTCGTGTCGTGTCGTGTCGTTTCCTCACTTTGCTTCGTTGATTGCAGGACCTGCACGAGAAGGAGGTCATCGGTCTGGCCCACCACCCGCACAAGAACCTCATCGCCACCTTCGCCGACGACGGCCTGCTGAAGCTGTGGAAGGGCGAAAAATGAGTGAGTCCGTCCATGACTCTCTCGCACCACCAAGATCACTCTTTTCCTCCTGTGCGAGTCTGTCGTGCGTGTGTCACTTTTCCTGCTACTTAGGAGAAAAGCGACGGACCAACGGCTGATCATCGAGTCATTTATCCCGCCAATGAGGGAGATTCAGGAATTCGGCGCGGGAAATTGTTTGGCGCCAAGGCGGAAAGCCCCAGGGGCAGGGACGTCTGCAGTACACAGGCTTTGTGGCGGTTGCAGAGTCGGCGCAACAAGAACAGGCTGCTCGCGGCGTTCGTGACATCTCTCGCGGCGTTGGTAGAACAGGAGGTGTGGACAGCAATCAGACTGAATTTCGGCCAGCAGGATAGATTCGATACATCGAGATCGAGATCGATTATTTCGAATAATCTCCATCTTTGTTCTGTAGCCCTCTGGTCTCCTCTCTTTTACCTCTCCTCTGCGCCGCACCATGGATCATTCGAGTGATGCACGAGTGCGCGACTTTGAAGAAGACCTGGACGATGAAATCCATCTCGATAATGCATCCATCAACAATGACACCGTCCTCTCGCTTCCGGCCGCACACAAGCACTTGTCCTCTGCACCACCGAGGCGGAGTCGAGATCGTAAGGGCTGCTACTCGGAGCGATTTCCCGATCGACGCGTCATCTTCCTACTCACGGTGATGCAGCTGATGGGATTCACCTTCCTCTTCCTGGCGGGCCTCGTCGAGAGCGTAGCCATCACCCTCGTGTGGGGCTTCCTGTCTCTCGGACTCTACCTCTTCATCAGATGGGCCAATCATCGCGGCTACAACGACACCTTGAGCGCCGCGGTGGCCCGCGGTCTGCTCATGGGCGCACTGGCCCTGGCCATCCTCTTCTACTACGAGGGCACCCACGGAACGGTACACGAGATGCGCGAGCGCGAGCCCAATCTCAAGCTCTACGACGACGAACTGCTCAGCATGGACCGGTTCATGCTCGGCTGGCTCTTCCCCGACGGACAGCTATCGCTGTGGGCCGACGAAAATCGCTTCATCGGCCCAGAGAGCCTCATCGGACCCCTCCTCACCGAGATCCTTCAAATCTACTACGCCAGGTACCGACCGCGCACAGGTGCCTGCTACGCAGCACGCAACACATCCACACTAACGTCGCCTTCGTGCAGCTTCTTTGGCTGGTGCAGCGTGCTGATCGTGTACGTGGGCCTGTGGGAGTACTTCATCTGCGGCTTCACCGGTGCCCGCACCGACTCCCTTGAGGCGTACGCTGCTTACTATCGCCAGTGTCATCATCTTTATCATCACGCGCCACGCACTCTTCTTCTCGCTCGGGCACTTTTTAGCCTCTGGGTCGGAAGAGTCGACCGACACACTCGCTTACCCACACCCGTCTCTTCTTGCAGAGACGTCGAGGCGCACAACCCGCACAAGTATACGGAGATGCAGGAGATGGGCTCTGCTGAGGACGGTGATGAAAAGGATTCCCCTTCATTCGATGGGTACGGCTCGGCCTCACGCGCGCGCCCGCTCTCTCTCTCTCTCTCTGGCCGGGTATCCTCACCGGGAGTCTCTGCGTTGCGTGCGTAGGGCTACGACGGGGGCCAAAGGACTCGCCAAGACCTACCGCTATCGGTTCTGGAAGTGGACCTTCTGGTTCACCCACGACGCGGCCGTCTGGCGGCGGCTCTTGATGATTATCCTCGCCATTCTCGGTACGCTTCACAGTCCTCTCTGCTTCGCGTTCTCTGTCTCTTGTCTGGCGTGACATGCATGCATGCATACATAACGGAGAACCCCAAGCGATCTCACTGATTGGTTCCACGACAGGCGCGTTTCTGTTGAACTACCTCGTCAGCTTCATGTTCCCGGCCGTGAGCCCGCGCGTTTCACTCAAGCACAGGTACGCATGTGAAATTCATACATGACGTCTCTCCTGCCTCCAGAGCTGTGCGAACTCCTTCTTCGCTCACCCGCCAGCCACTCACGGAAAAACAATGTCGATCAGATTCAAGAACCCGCTGTCTGGGTACTGGTTCAGCGACATCATCCGCGACACGCTGTCGAAGACCGACGAGGGCACCTATGGCTCGTTCCCCTCGGGACACGTCGCCCTCACCTGGGTTCCCTCCATCGTTGCCCTCAAGCTCGGCTATCCCAAATACGGTAAGGCCCTCATGTGCGTGTGTGTGTCGTGTGCGGTGCGTGCGCACACGTCCGCTCACCACTTACGGTGCCGCTTGGGATTGCGCACAACCAGGTTGGAGCTGTCTGGTGGCTGCCGTGCTGATCACCTTCTCGACCCTGTACCTGCGCTACCACTACTTCACCGACGTGGTGTTCGCCATCCCGCTCATCGTCTTCGGCCTCTACTTTGGCGGCATCTACACCATGACGCCCTACAAGCGCGCCGCGCGCCGCGCCTGGCACTGGCTGCGACCCCGCCTGCCCTGCGCGTTCGTGCAGGAGTGGGGCCGCTATCACGACGACGACCTCGTCTTTGCTGGCGACAAGTACGATGATGACGATTACGACGATGAAGTCGACGACGTTCACGACTTTGACGCCAACCAAGCGGAGGAGACGCGGCGATGAGCTTCCTTATGATGCGCGGAAAGCTAGAGAGCCGGACGATGACCAAGAAGGGAAGAAGAAGAAGGGGAAGGAGAAGGAGAAGAGGGAGGCCCGCTGCCTTGTTCAGTGTACCTTGTACAAGATTTTGTTTATTATTATTTATTTTTATTCTTTTAAAACATGTTCCAATCATTCTCAAGGGAAGAAGTACACGCTGCCGCGTGGTGATGAGGGACATACCATACGGGGTGTTAGTGGTCGGAGATAGGATCAACAGTTGTTGTTGTGGGGCCGAGGGCCGCGGAGGGGGCCACTGTGCGGGATCGGAGTGATTGATGACAGAGCCCGCACTGGAGTCCAGCACTGTGGGTTCATGGACTGATGACAACCCGTACAGTGATTGTTGTGGGCTATGTGGGCCGCTATGTAGGATCGGCGTGATTGATGACAGCGCCCGCACATGTGGGTTCAATTGATGACACAACCCGCACACGTGCACAACTGTTGCGGGAGCGCGTTCATTGGACCGGTCTGTAGTTGTCAAAATACAAAACAGCTCAAGAGCTTTGCTGGGCCTTTGTTCCGTTTTGTTTTTGCCCTGCATCAGCCCTCCGACCTAAAGTTGAATCACACCCGCGAGGATATGCAGCAGCGCCCGAGGAAGAAGGTTTGCATCCAATGCCGTCGGGCTCACACCGCCTGTGACGGGTACCGCGTCCCTCATTCATTAAATTGACTAAATTAACCTACTCTCAATCAATGTTTTATAAAATATTATTTATTTCTTCATGTATACATCGATTTTACTGGGCCTATCCCCTTATCATTTATTTATTTATTTATTTATTTCAATATACAAAGGCACTTTGATTTCACGTTTTTCTCGTTGTCTGGTGCTGTCCATCCAGGCAACAGCCCTGCCGCCGATGTATTGGGGCCGGGATGGCCGACCAGTGCTGTCCACCGCCGCCCGGCAGGCCGCGCGGGCGTTACATGACCGGCGGCCTGGCCGGCGCAGGTGGTGCCCCGGGCGCCGCCGTTGCCGGTGCGCCGCCACAGATGCCCAACGTCGGCATGCCCGCCCTGGCGCCCCACGTCATGCCGGCGCAGACCACCTTTGCCTCGGCCTTCGCCTCTTCCGCCGATCCCTCCGCCGCCGCCGCGGGCCTTGCCGACCCCTACGCCCAGCCGCAAGCCAAGAAGCAGCGCAGCGAGCCCAACGGCGGTGCCGGGGCTGGAATGATCGGAGTGCCGCTGCTGTACGACGGCGCGCAGGGTGGTACGACCACGTCGACGTCGACGGCGGCGGAGCTGAGCCAGATCAAGTCGCTGATGTCGATGCTGATCGAGCAGGTGCGCGAGGTCAAGCGCGAGAACGCCGACCTGCGCGAGGAGGTGCTCGATATGCGCATACGCCTGGACGACAACGACGCCATACACAAGCGGCACATGGACGAGCTGCGCCGCGAGGTGGCCGCCGCCGGGCTGAAGGGACCGCGCAAGGGCCGCCGATCGCACGATTCGTCGCCGTCGTCGTCGTCGTCGGCCTTGTCGCTCTCGACCACTACGCTCGCCAACAGCGGTAACACGACGGCCAACGTGCTCGAGTCGGCACTCCAGCGGCAGGCCATCATGACCACCCTGCCCTTCGTCCGGGAGTACAGCGAATATCTGGACTCGTTCGTGCTCAACGACGTCATGTACTCATCATCTCCCATCATCGCCCGTTGCGTGTGTCGTGTGCTTGTCGTGTGCGACACGACTGACATCGCACGCGCGCAGGACGGATGCGTTTGCGGTGTTCTACATGGGGGAGCCCAAGTCAGTCGAGGAGCTCTCCGTCAATCCGCCGGTGTTCGTGCACGCCTCGCCGGCCTGCTGTGCGCTCACCGGATTCACCCAGGTTCGCACCCTTCACCACCGCCCACACCACCACTTGGCGCCGTAGTGCTCACCACCCTTTTCCCCTCTGTGTGTCGTGTGTCGTGTGTCGTGTGTCGTGCGCCGTGTGCGGCGGTGCGTGTGTCGTGTTTGTAGGAGGAGCTGATGGGCAAGCCGATCTTCATGCTCTGCCAGACGGAGAAGGAAATGATCTTCGTCATCCTCACGCGCATCTTCAGCAAGCCCACCAAGCCCACGGGCGAAATCTTCGTCACCACCATGACCTGGGCCACCAAGGACAAGCGCGCCCTCGTCGTGCGCCTGCGCCACCAGATCTTCTACAACAAACAACGACAGGTATCGTTGCGTGTCGTGTCGTGCGCGTGTCGTGTGCGTGTCGTGCTCACATTCCGCAACATTCCACAACAGCCCAAGTGGTATTTTGTGGCGGTGGAGTCGGTGCTGGACGACGACGCGCCGGAGCCGCAGCGGAGCCTGAGCGACATCCTCCACAACCCGAGCGAGCTGCAGCGCTTCAAGAGCCAGTTCTCGGCCTTCTTCGACTCGCTCTACACCACCAAGACCGTCACCACCACCGTCACCACCCTGCACCACGCCGGCCCCGGCGCCCACGCGCTCATGGGCAGCTCCATCCCCGCCGCCTTCCCGCCCTCTTCCTCCACCACATTCTCCGCATTCCCGGCCATGTCGCACCACTTCCCGCACGCCATGATCGGCGCCGCCCAGTACTACCAGCAGCAGCCGCCGCAGCTGGGGCCGGCCTCGTCTGAGGACTACTCGCCGTCGTCCGGGTCGATGTCGGCCTCTTCGTCGTTCGACTCGTCGTCGCCCGATTCCAACCCGCTCGACCCAGCCACCACATCATCGTCGTCGTCGTCGACCTTGTCGTCGATGTCGTCATCGACGCAGGCGTGGAGCAACATCACGCTGGCCGAGCTTTTGGAGGACGACGAGTGCCGAGCCATCCTACAGGAGCAGAAGCGAAAGGCCGCCGAGAGTCACCAGCTCCAGCTCCAACAGCAGCAGCAGCTCAACCAACAACGCGTCAATCTCACCAGCGGCAGCGGCGGAGGGAGCGGCAAGTCGTTGGCCGATCAGAGCCTCGAGGAGCTGCTCGACGAGTTCGTGCCGCGCACTGCCCAGCCCTCCTGAGCCCCCATTTGTTTTATTTGTTTTATTTGTTTTGCTTTTATCTGTTTTCGCTCCCAGTGCGGGCCTGTACACACATACACCACGAGTCGTCAACTTCACCAGACACGGGGACCGCGGGGCAGTCACGTCTCGGCGGGTAGATCATTCCGGCGGTAAGATCCGGCGGTACTTGCCGGTAGAGGTTGCATTCCACACATAACTCATGCTTTCACTCGGCCAGTGAAGCGCAAACGTTGTGCACAATGATGGATCCCTCCGAACCCACAAAGATGAAAAAGAAGAGGGTGTGCCTGCCCTGCCGAATGGCGCACTCTGCCTGCGACGGGTTCGCTCAACCCCCCCCCTCTCGCATTCGTTCTTCTCCCGTACTGCGTCGCTTTCGTTGTTTTTCTGAAGGCGCGGGGGGGGGCATCCAGGCAAGACCCGTGCCGCCGGTGCGTGGCGGCGGACACCCCAGGCCAGTGCCTGCCGGCGCCCTCGCGCAAGCGGGGCCGTCCCGCCATGGGCCTTTTTGTCAATGACGCCAAGGCCGACGTCAGCAACCCCTTCAACAGCCTCACGAACTTTGACCTCACCTTCACGCGGCCTCCCTCTTCTTTCTTTTCTTCTTCCACTTCTTCTTCTTCTTTCTTTTCTTCTTCTTCTTCTTCTTCATCCGATGGATCATCGTCCTCTTCTCCACTCCAGTTCGAGCCACAGCTTCAACACACATCGTCACACCATCAACACCATCAACACCTTCAACAACTTCAACAACTTCAACACCAACACCAACAGGCGCCGACGCAAGCCACCAGCGCCGCCGCCGCAGCGGTGATGAACGACACCATCGGCGGCCAGGCCAAGAGGCAGCGGGCGTCAGCGTTGGTGGACTCGGCGGAAGCCCAGGCCCAGGCCCAGGCCGGGCGGGTCGACGGGGGGTTCGTCGGGCCGCTGGTGTTGCTGCTGGTCGAGCAGGTGCGCGAGGTCAAGCGCGAGAACGCGAGCCTGCGGGACGAACTGACCCAGCTGACCACCCACCGCGTGCGCGCGTTGGAGGACGACAACCGCCGGCTCCACGCCGAGCTGCTCCGTCTGCGCAGCGTCGTCGACGATCTTCAATCGCTACGCAACAACCACCAACCGCCGAACTCACAGCTACAGCTCTATCTCAACCCCGCCTTCATAACATCATCATCACCGTCGCCGCCGTCGCCGTCTTCGTTTTTCAACCCGTCGTTGTCGTTGTCGTCGTCGTCATTGCTGTCGCCTTCGTTTTTGTCGTCGTCGGACCTCGGGCCGCTGTCGGCGCGTGGCGCCGGTGGTGGGTGGGCTCCCAATCGGGGCGGTCGGCCTACTTGGGCGGGACTGCTGGGCATGCCCGCGTTCCGACCCCTCGCGAAGCGCGCGCTTCCGTTCCTCGACGACTACGCCGGCGAACTCGCCACCCGGCCCTGCGTCTTCGATGACGTCTTGTACGCACCACGCCACATCGCTCACATAACTCGCATTCCTCGCTTATACCGTGTGTGTTGTGTGTGTCGCGTGTGTGCTGCAGCAATGACATCTACGCGGTGTTTGACATGAGAGAACCGGCCGATCCACAGGAACTGTGCGTGAACTCACCGATCTTCACCTATGCATCCCCGGGCTACTGCGCCGTCACCGGATACGAGATGGTGTGTGTGTGTGTGTGCGCGTGTGTGTGTATGTGTGTGCGTGTGTGCGTGTGCGTGTGTTGGTCGATTTACCTAAGTGTGCGCGTTCAGGAAGAGCTCGTGGGCAAGCCCATCCAGACGATCTCGCGCACAGACAAGGAAACGCTCTTCATCGTTCTCGTGAATATCTTCGCCAAGCCCCCCTCGCCCGTGGGCGATTTGTGGGCCACCGTGCAGACGTGGCAGCACAAGAACGGCACTCCGCTCATGCTTCGCCTGCGTCACCAGCTCTTCTACAACCAGCTATGGCAGGTTCGCTCCCCTCGTTCATTGTCTTGTGGTGCGTGTGCGGTGGTGCGTGTGCGTGTGCGTGGGCGTGCGATGATATTTACATCAACTACGTTAGCCGAAGTGGTTGGTGCTGGTGACGGAGTCGGTGCTGGAAAGCCCGCACCTCCAGCCGCAGAACGACATTCTTCACACGCCCGACGAGTTCCAGCGCTTCCGCACCCGCTTCCCGGCCTTCTTCGACTCGCTCTTCACCACCAGCACCCGGACCGCCAGGCTCAAGGCCGCCGGCTCCACCACCACCAGCCTTGGTCGGCCGCTGTCGGCTTCGTTCGGCGTTGAGCAGTGGTTCACTGCGCCGCTACCCAGCGGAGGCGTGACCGGCGCCACCATCCGGGAGCTCGATGACGACAGTGCCGACACGCCCCCGCCGCAGGCCGTGGCGCCGGCGGAGGTCACGGGCGACTACCAGTTGGGCGACATCCTCAGCATCCTTGACTCGCCGCGCGCTCCCTTCTCCCCCTTCTCCACCTGATCAGCTTCTGGCACCTTCCCTGGACCACTGCAACGCACTTTCGGAGTTGTATCACTACACTTTTTGCTCAGTAGCGAAGCCAAAGCAACACCTACAAACACACCACACCAGCCCTGCGTACGAAGCAAACATGTTGAGGGAGGCTGCCGTGTGTGGCATTGTGTTCCTGTTGGTTTTGGGCCTGGCAGCCCTGTTCACACGCCACCCTATTCCTCCTTTCGCTGCCGGGTAAGTGAAGTTGCACCTTTGCTTGTCGGCCGACCAACAAAGGTGATCATTCACTATCACCATCTTCTAACGCTCTGCACAACAGAGATGGCCCCGCAACCACGCCCCGCGCTTCCCTGGGTCCTTCACCGCGCATGGACCCTGAGTACCTCGTCCTTCTGCGAGACCACCTAACCGGCCCACTCCGTACTACCTCCGCCGCCCTTCTTCTTCTTCTTCAAGTTAGTGTTCTTCTGCCCCTGAACTGCTCATATTGCGTGGCTCACCCGTCGTTGTACTACTCGGTTCACTGGATGCCCGAAAGTCGAGCTGCAGGTGGCCACGTTGCGTTCGGTTGTTGATGCGTGTAAAGACGGCAGCCAGCTGAGGCATGTCTACGCCATCGATCACGACCAGAACTCACACGTGCTCCTCTTCCATCTCTCCACAACGTACGCGCAATGACTGCTTTCTACTTCACCATCATCTTCATGCCCTCTCATCCCTCCCCCCCAAAGGGCGCTTCGCAAGATGAGGGCGCACCCCTACGTCGCCCTGGTCGAGGCTAAGCAGGGTGCCACCGACCTGCCCAAGGTGTGCAACAGTCCCACCGACAACAACTTGTCCACCCGCCTGCAGTGCTCAGGGAAGGAGATCGCCGTTTCTGCCCGCTTCATCGACATCGCTGTGGAGCAGGTGGGTGAACACCGAACGCTCGGTCTCGCTTGTGGTCGAAAGGGAGTGGCGGTGTTGTGAACTGAGGTGGTCGCTTGTTGTGATCAGCCGAACGCGGGAGGGAGGCGCACTGTGACGCTTCTGGAGTACAAGGGCGGGTTCTACATCGCCTTGCCCACCGACAACCCGAGTGTCTCCACCTACAAGGTACACTACTGCACACACACACGAGAACAACGTTGGCCAACGTAGGAAAAACTCATGAAGTGATCGGTTGTTGGTCTTGTAAACAGTGTCCGACGCGCCTCCAAGGCACCATGTCCGACATCGTGACCACGTGGTTCGCCATTCGGTTCAATCCCCAAGACTTGACCGTCAACACGGGCGACTACACCTTTGTCACGTACGTGTGTCGCACTCCTGGCTACCTTCGTGCGTGAAAACATGTTCACCACATACGGTGCCGATGCTATCAGGAGCACCGGATACAACACGCACCACAAGGACATGGGTCCTGATGCAGCTACACATGTCCCCTTCGCTACCTGTTTTGGTGCCTTCTTCCCCCCTTGTCCCCCCCAACCTTTTTGAGGTCTAATCCACTGAATTGACCACTTCCCCACAACAGGCTGTGAGGCGTCGCAAAGGGACGACGGCAGAGCAGTGGTGGACCTGCACGGCACCCCGTTCGTGGTCCTCGACAACCAGTTCAAAGTGCGTCTGACCACCTTACCTCTCTTTCACTTGATTTCTGGTGTCATCCAACTCTCTTCTTCTTCTTCCTGGGAAACTGACAGTTCGCTGGCTACTTCGCCTACGGGACGTGGACCTATTCGAACAACGCCCAATTGGTTGACCTCACCGGCGGGGTACCAGCTTCGCCCTCCATCCTCTCGTGTGGTTACAACACAAACAGAAAGCCTCATTATTCCGACGAATGTGTGTGCTTGGGGGGGGGGCATGCAGGGCTACTGTGGCTGGACGGCCCCGTTGGCGGCTGCGGACAACGAGAACATGGCGTGCAACGGCGGCTGGCACCTCCAGCTTGGCCTTCTTCTTTAGAGACAAGAAGAAGGACATTTGATCACGATCTACAAGAGATCGCACTTCTTTACCTCGCCACGAGCTAGAAGAACAAGACGGCTTTCAGGTGGTCGATCTGGCTCACCAAATCGTCGATGGTCCGCCTTCGCGACGGTGTGTTGGGTCCGGGTATGCCGTCGATCACCCGTTTGCGGGCCTCGAGCAGGGCCGACTCCACCAGGAGCGACCCCTCGCCCCAGAACCCGCTTCGGTCGTCGTCGCCTGCCACCGGGCTGTCCCAGTCCGCGTCCCACGGGTCGGCTCGACCCGTGCCGAAGAAGAACCGGCGCCGGTACTTGATCACGTTGGCCCGCATGAACCGCTGGAGCTCCACATCATCGGCCAGCCGTCGCATCTGCTCCTGGATCAGTTGTTTATTCATGAAGCTGGGGACGTCGGCGGTGTCGTTGGTGGTGGTGGCGTTGGTGGTAGCGGGGCCGCCAGGCTCCTCGGGGGCGAAGATGACCATCTCGTGCCAAGGCAGCTGGTCGACGAAGGGCAGGTGCCACCGGTCGGAGAAGAGGATCGGGATGCAGCCGCCGGCGAGCATGTTGAACAGGGCGCGGGTGGTGGGCGTGTGGCCCCGGGCCACGGCGCAGAACACGGACTGAGTGATCTGCTCGACGTAGTACGTGTGCGGCACGGTGGCGCCAAACATGGGGCCGAGCGCCTCGGTGAGCCCCCCGGCGGGGTCGGTGAAGAGGTCCTTGATCTGGAGGCGCAGGTTGGGCTCGGTGGCGATCTTGAGAGTGTCCCAGTGGGCCGCGAACATGTAGGGCCGGGGCTTGTTCATCAAGTAGTCATCGGGCAGCGTGTAGAGGAAGGAGGCCGACGAGCAGTAGGGCATGGAGATGTCCTTTACCGCATCGGGCAGTGGCAGACTGGCCGGCTCGCCAAAGCTGTCGCCCTTCCTCTTCACCCCGTTGTGTAGGATGGTGGCGCTCTTGAAGACGGCGCCGAGGTGGTCGGAGTTCTGGTTGGACTGCTGGTGGATGAGGAACTGCCGAGGCTGGGCCTGGTAGCGCGGCCCCCACTCGCTGGACTCGAGTAGCCACTTCTCTGTATCGTTGGCGGCCTGGGCGATGCACCAGGGCCACACGGGAACGATGTAGAGCGATGCTTGAGTCCGGTCGAAGGTGCGGTAGGGCGACCGTCGTAGCAGGGAGGTGAAGAGCTGCTCGCCGCCCATGTCCTCGGGCGCCTTGGCTGGCGGCCAGTCGTGGCCTCCCTTGTTGGTCTCGTTGCAGAGGTGGTTGTGCGAGGCCATGAAGGAGGTGATGATGTAGAAGGTCACGTTGGCCAGTTCCGCCCGCAGGGTAGTGGGGTCTTCGCGGTAGGGGCCTGCAGGCGTGGCGTCGAGGCGGTGGACGACATGGACAGAACCACTGCGTGCATGATCAGCTGCTGGCCTGGGACAGTCTGGAGGGTCGAGGCCGAAGAAGAGGCCAAGGGTAAGGTAGAACAGTGCTGAGGCTACGAGGAGGATGCCCAACAGCGCTTGGAAGCCAGCCAGTTGACCGGAGTAGCTTTGTGAGGAGCTTAGGCCCACTAGTGGCATTGCTTGCTCACTCAGGCTGTTGTGGTGCAAAGAGACATGTTTCCTTTTCCTTTTCCTTTTCCTTTTCCTTTTGCAAGCTTTTCATTGAAGCCCAAAAAACCGGACAAAAAGCTCGGACCAGGCAAACGGCCGAAAGAGGGTTTGGTTGTACGCTCACCATGCAACATCATCACTGGTTTTTTTACCTGGATTCTTTTCGGAGTTACCGATGTCCCCGGTTGGTTTGGTTGGCCTGTCTTAAACCCACTCTCCGCCGAGGTTCAACAACAACACCACCACCAAGTGCAGCAACATGTTGAAGCCGGCCGCGCTTGCCGTCCTCTTCCTCTTTGCCCTTTCAGCTGCCCTGGCCACACCCGGCCGTACCACACCCAGTTCACAAACTAGCAACGGATCACTCTCTAAACGATCACCTCTTTATTGATGTTGATCAGGCCTGGCCCCACTTCACGTGGCGACAGATCCTTCGCAGCGCGTTCCAGGCGAGTACCTGGTCGTTCTTGTTGACGAACTCACCGGTCCACTCTGTACACCACTACCTCTCCACTTCATCAACTGCTTCTGTCTTCTCCCCCTCAACCACAGTCGTATTGCTTGGCTCACTCGGAGTTATAACTACCAATGTTCACTTTCTTTTAGTCGAGCTGCAGGTGGCCACCTTGAAGTCGATCGCCGACGCTGCGAGGGACGGGAGCGCGCTCAAGCATGTCTACTCCATTGACGCCGACGGGTCGCGCCTGCTCCTCTTCAAGCTCTCCTCCACGTACAGTCAACGCCGATCTCCATAGACATCATCGCCCACAGCTACTAACGAACGAGGAACACATCTCTAGGTCTCTGTTCAAGATTAGGGCTCACCCCTCTGTGGCCTTGGTCGAAGAGAACCAGTCCATCTACATGGACAAGGTCTGCTACACGCAGAAGGTCACTGCCGACCTGTCCAAGCGCCTCCTCGCCTGCCCGTGGACGGAAATCCACACCTCGGCCCACTTCGTTGATGTCACTCTGCGACAGGTTAGTACACTGTAACAGTGTGTGCCACTTTTACTAATCAACCTTTTAATGATTATGTTTTGGTTGATGTTCACACCTGGTTGTTTGTGTCAGCCGAACACTGGCAAGTGGAGGAATGTGAAGCTGCTTAAATACCTCGATGGTTTCTACATCGTGCTGCCCACCGACCAGAGCAGTGTCTCGTCCTATAAGGTATCACTCGCCTAGACCAGACCCGGATACTTCGTATCTTACCAACAACACCCTTGTGGGCAGTGCCCGACGCGCCTCCGAGGCTCCATGTCCGACATCGTGACCACGTGGTTCGCCGTTCGCTTCGATCCTGCAAACTTCACAGTCAACACGGGCGACTACACCTTCGTCAAGTACATGACCCCCCCCCCGCCGGCGTTCAAGATTGCATGTGTTGGTTGGGTGAGTCTCTTCTTGGGTTCTCAATCGGCCCTATGCTATCAGGACCACCGGGTACAACGCGCACCACAAGGACATGGGCCCCGATGCTGCCACGCACGTCCCCTTCGCGACCTGCTTTGGTGCCTTCCCCCCCTCTCCCACTTTCCTCCGTCCTCCACTGACCAGTCTCCTGCGACAGGCTGCGAAGCTCCCTCACGAAACGACGGCCGCGCCGTGGTGGACCTGCGCGGCACCCCGTTCACGGTCCTCGACAACTTTAAAGTACGTCCTACCGCTGACCACCCAAAACATGGCCATTGTTGATGTTAACGTTGGGACCTTGCAGTACTCTGGCTACATCGCCTTCGGGACGTGGACCTATTCGAACAACGCCCAATTGGTCGACCTCACCGGCGGGGTACCAGCTTCCCCCTCTCGTGGCCTTCGCCCTGCCAACTGAGATCACTGACTTTGGAGTGGTGGTGGGAATTCAAGGGCTACTGCGGCTGGACAGCACCGGTCAAGGCGGCGGACAACGAGAGCCTGGCGTGCAACGGCGGTTGGCACCTTCAGCTCGGCCTTCTGTGAGCACCTCCAGTCCGGCTCTTGCACCATGGCAATGTTTGATTTCAATTTTAAAACAAGTTTTGTTGTTTTTGAATGGACGCCAACTCAAGAAGGGGAGTAGGCCTGGGGGACGGCCACGTAGAGAAAGTCGCGCACGAGGCAGCACTGGAAGGGCTCGTTGGGTCCGGTCTGCAGCAGAGGCCTCTTGCCCTCCGCATCCAGCGTGTACACGTACCTGTGCGAGAAACCCACGCCAGTCAACACCACACGCACACAAACACGCACACGCACACGTACCACCGCACACGCACACGCACGCGCGCGCGCGCGCGCACACACACACACACACACACAAACACGAGGAGCAGGAGCGTGGGTACGGCAGGCGGAGACAAAGGAAGCTGTTGGGCGGCAGCGCAATCTCCAGGCCAGTCTCGAAACTGTGCTTCGGCCCGGTTGGGGAGGTGCTAGCCGCCGCTGCCGCACCTCCGGCCTTGGCAGTCGCCTGCTGCTGAGTCGGTTGGGCGGGCGACCACTGATTTTGGGGCGACTCAGTTGTGTGTGTGTGTGTGTGTGTCATGTGGTGTGTGTGTGTGTGTCATGTGTGTGTGTGTGTGTGTCGTGTGTGTGTGTGTGTGTCGTGTGTGTGTCGTGTGTGTGTCGTGTGCGCGCGCGGCGTGAGTACCTGAATGCGAGGGCGGAGGAGAATGCTCTCGGGCTGGTTGGGCGTGACGAAGTAGAGCCGCTGCAGCTGCGCCAGGGCCGGAGCGACCTTCTGGCAACAGCTCGCGCCGGTGCACGGCGCGTAGAGAGGGACGTCCGAGTTAAGACGCACGCGCTGATCGCCCTTCTGCATCAATGGTATCAGATACCGCACACGCACACACAACCACCGCACACGCACATGCACCACCGCACACGCATGTTTTTCCAGAGGGAAAGCGCATACGTTTTTCATGCGATAGTGACGATCCTGCTTGTGCGCTTTCGAGGGGAGGGCCAGGAAGCGGTGGCCGGCCGGGCATTCGTACTCGAAGCCCAACAGCACACTTACAAACGTCGCTTGCGGTCTGTTTACGGCCACACACGCACCACACGCACACGACGCACCGCACACACACAACACGCGCACCGCACACGCAGCCAGCGCGCATGAGGAGTGTACGGGCAAGCTTGAAAGAGAGCGTGTGGTCGGAAGTGTGAACCGTTCGATCTTGTTGGCTGGCGGAGGGAAGTCGATGGCCGCGTCGCGCTCGTAATCGCCGTCGTAGGCCGCGTCCCTGTCTCCCTTCCGTCGCTGCCTCTCGCGTCGTCGCATCGGCGAACGCGGCGGCGACGTCGCCCTACGACGCCACGCGGCCACACACACGTGACACGTCAACACGCCACGTCAGCACCCCCAGCGTGGCACGCCACCTTAACATACAAACGTTGTATGTACCGTGCGGCGGCGGGGAGAGCGGAGGCTGCGGCGGGCGCGATGGCGGTCGACGTGGGCACGGCGAGGCCGAGGTTGGAGGCCGCCACGTGGAGCGCGTGGCCCTTGCTCTCGAGGAACTTCTGGCGGCGGTGCATCACCGCCAGCTCCAGCGCCGTGCCCACGCTCGTCTCGGCCTTGGCGCCTGGCGTGCGAATGACGCGTCAGCGCACGACACGACACACGCGCGACCGCACACGCACACGACCACATGTACGCACCTGACGCGGAGAGAGTAGAGGTGATGGCGCCGACTTCGTCGGAAATGGCGGCGAACAGGGTGGCGAAGCCCGCGGCCGAGTCGGGCAGCGGGGCGGCCCGGTGTTGGCCCCGACCACCTACGGCGGCGGCCGGGGCTGCCGCTGCTGACGTGGCACCTGTGGTTGCTGACGTGGCACTCGGCTGCTGCTGCTGTTGGCCCAGCATGTGGGCGGTGTTGGGTATGGGGTAGTAGTGGCAGGGCACGTTCATGAACGAAAGGTGGTTGAAGCCCTGTACGAAGCCCTCGAACGGCAGACCCGCCTCCCGACGGTACAGCGACGCCGGACCCACACGGCACAGCGACCTGCGCACCATGCGTGCGGGAATTGAGCATGTGTCGTGTCGCGTGTCGCGTGTGTGCGTGTGTGTGCGTGTGTGCGTGTGTGCGTGTGTCGTGTGTGCGTGTGTGCGTGTGTGCGTGTGTGTGCGTGTGTGTGCGTGTGTGTCGTGTTGGTACCAGGAGGGGAAGGAAGGAAAGGAAAAGCTGAAGTCCGGGTCCGGTCCGCCGATGGAGCGGGCGAGAGGAAACTCGAAGAGGATGGCCTCCCGACAGCAGTCCATCAGGAAGAAGTCGTAATTGGCCTCCTTCGCATCAAATGGATCCTCTCTGCGCGCGGCACGCGTGTCAGATATCGAGCAGGACGCACAACACGCGACACGACACACTCGACACACACACACACGCGCACCTTATTCTCCTGGACCGCCCACAGTTACACGCGTGGAGAGCACGATGCGCGGACGAGTGCGGAATGCAGCGTTCCTACGTGTGCGTGTGTGGGGGAGGAGGTAACTGTTGAGAAACCGCAGCAGTGCCGGCAGGCGCCTGCGCGAGCGAATACCTCGTAATTGGCTTCCTCGTCGTCGTAGCCTGGCTCCGCGTCAACGTCGCCTTCTCGCTCACCCTCCTCTGCGTTGTTATCGTCGTCATCGTCATCGTGACGTTCTTCGTCGTCATCGTCGTCGTTGCCACCGTCGTCGTCGTCATCGATGTCGTCGTCGTCACGCGACCGACTTCGCAGCCGATCGCGGTCTCGAGGCCTCACCTCCTCCACCCCCTCTTCCTCTTCATAGTCTTTATCTTCAACCGTGTCCCTTCGCTGCGCGCCGCGTCGTCGCGGGTCGTCCCTGCTTGGATGAACGGCCCCGACCCCGCCCCGCGCTCTCGGCTGCGGCTGCGGCCTGCGCCGCCGGCGCTCCGTGTTGCCCTTGGCCAAGGGCGGAGGCAGCGAAGAGACGGAGGCCTCTGCCGCGGGCGTGGTCGATGACACCGCGCCGTCGGCTGGCACCGTGTGAATGCGGTACGTGCACGGTCGGCCCGTGAGACTGTGCGCGTGTGCGGTCGTGTGCGTGCGGTCGTGTGGTGTGCGTGTGCGGTCGTGCGTTATGATAAGGGACGGCTGATAGTGTTGACCCAGTATTTGGGGGTACCTGAGGGCGTCACAGAGGCGTCGGCCGTTCTCCCAGAATTTGGTGCACTCCTCTTTGAGCCGCGCGATGAACGTCTCCACAGCGGGACCGCGTGCGTTCTGATAGAAATAACGAAGCGCCTTGTCCAACTGCGCACATACATGACACCACGACACGCACGCGTTAAGAAAAGCTGCGTCGACTCCCTGCGCATGTGCGGTGGTGCGCGTGCGCGCGTGCGTGTCGTGCGTGCCTGCTTTTCATGGACCGACGAGGGGTAGCACTGCGGAAGGTCTCGCACGTAGGTCTCCTTGGCCGCTGGCAATGCCTGCATGCAACGGCTACGTCCCATTGACACGCGTCAGTTGAACTTCAACATTGTTTAAACACCAGTGTATTATTAATAATAATATGAATTAGAAAGTGGCATGTGCGCACCTTTGGGAGAACTTGTACTCGGGGTCGAGAAAGCTCTTCAGCTTGTCGTGGACCACGGCGGTGGTGCGCGCCTTGTGTCCTCCCCGCTTGGTGGGGTACAGGAAGAACTGCTGCAGCGTGAGACACCCGACGTAGAAATCGCTTGACGACGCCAACTGTGCGCGAGTGCGGTGGTGTGTGCGTGTGCGGTTCGGGGCGGTTGGGCTTGAGATCAGCCTGCAGCACTACTAGAGTTGGAGGGAGAAGGGGATCGGAACCTCAATGCGCTTGGAGGCCGCTTGCGCCTTGGTCGCTTTGGCTTGGCCCAGGAGCAACTCGCGCAGCTTGAGTACGTCTGTGCAGTACGCGCCATCAGTCGATGCTCTTGGTACTCACAACAACAACACACAACACACAACACACAACCACACACACACACAACCACACACACACACACACACCACACACACACACACACACACACACACACACACACACACACACACACACCACACACACACACACACACACACGGGTGGCGATCAATGTACCTTGCCGATAGACATTGTGGTGGAGCCAGGGGAAGTCGAGCTGCGGCGAGGCCGACGAGGTGTCGGATAGGAATCCCGCCAGCGGATCAAAGTGCTCGAACGGGTCCTCCTCCGGCGCACGGATCATGTGTACCAGCCGTTGCGAGTCCAACGTAAAGAGCTGGACGCTGCGATTTCGAATATGTGTGAGAACACACACGACACACGACACGCACGACACACACGACACACGAGTTTCAAATGTGCACGACACGTGCGCGTGTGTGTGTGCGGGTACCTGCTCTCGGACGATGGCAGCACCCGGGATCGGCGTATGAGATAGCGGACCTGTGCTTCGAGCGAATATCGCATCTTCTCTGCCACCGACCGCTGGCTCAGGTCCTGCTGTCACACAGACACCATTCACCGGAATCGAAATGAGTACTGCGCTCAAAACAAACGCAACACAAACGAAACGCAAACACAAAAACAAACACAAAGCATAGCACGTCACCTGAGTGGAGTCCCTGTCGCGCTGGGCGTCCTCGCGAAGAAATGGAGGCACGACATTCTGCAAAGAGGAGTGACAGTGTCACGACCGAAAATGTTGGCTCTTGGGAGGAAGCTAGACAACACACACACACCACCACACCACACACACACAGAGAGAGAGAGAGAGAGAGAGAGCGTACCATGTTGAAGACGAAAGAGAGCGCCGGGACGCATCGTCCCGGCGTGTAAGCTGAGGCCTGCTTGAACTCGGGCAGATGGGCGCAGGTCTCCAGAAAGCTGGTCATGGCCGGACCCATCATTTGTTTGACGGTCTGCAGAGTGCGAAAGAGCCGCAGGTACTTGAGGTTGAAGGTCATCCCGTGGTTGACGACCTGATCGGGTCATCACGAAGAACGAAGAACAAAGAAGAAGAGCGAAGAGATGGAGTGAGTGAGTGAGTGAGTGAGTGAGTGAGTGAGTGAGTGAGTGAGTGAGTGAATTATTGAATTAATGAATGAATCTGGGCTGCCGGAGTACCAGCATGAAATGGCAGACGTGGAACATGAAGAGCATGGCCTTCAAGTGGTGATACTCCTTCTTCGCCAATAGGAGATGAAAGTCCTGCAGTGTGTTGACACCAACGGTGAGACCCAGCATGCAAGGCAACAAACTGGTGGGTGAGGGCGGAGAGAAAGAGGTACGGAGTGGTTCATGTTTGGGTCGAGCCCCTCGACCAGGTCGGCGAACACGTCGCTGTCGTGAATCGAGACCAGGTTGAGGTAGACCACGTTCTGTTCCGCGCTGTGGTACATCTCAATCCGACACTGCGCTCGCCGCGGTGCCGCGCCAGTCACACGAATCAGCGACCCGACACAAACACAACCAAGCAAGCACTCATGGCTCGCTGGGGCAGATCAAGCAGCGTACATGGCCCTCTTCGCTGTGGCCGCTGCCCGAGGTCTTGTCATCCAAGTCAAACGCCTGCCACAACGCGCAACGTTATGCACCGCACACAACTGCGCACGCACACGACACCACTGCACACGCACACGGCACGACCGCACACGCAGGCGAATGAATGGTGGAGAGGCGTGCCTGGGGCAGGGCAGAGTCGGCGAGAATGCCCAGCAGGCGCGCTTTACCGTGGAGCGAGCCACCCAGGAGGCCCACGACGACGACGCGGTTGCCGCCCAGCCGCAGGGCGGCGAGTGTCTCCTTGCTGGGTTCCTTTCGGCCAGCGGGCACCGCCCCCGCCTTCTTACGGTTCTGTTTCAGCATGTCCGGCCGCGGGTAGATCGCGTGCGCCCTCTCCATCTCGCGTAAAGGGAAATGTGCCAATTATAATTTATAAATGCAATAATAATCTGTCTCTTGTCGCTCTAATTCATCAAAATATAATAATGATTTATATCTCGGTCATTTTTCTGGTATCCAATTCAAGGTCATTTTCTTTTTGTTTCTCTGTGTTGTCCTTTCTCAGTAATTTCTAAACTCCTTTTCTCCACAGTAAATAAATCATTTGCATAAATAATTATTTTTTTTTGTTGGATCTTCAATCACAAGCAAGCGGAAGAAGATGGAGAGCACTGCAGCAACCAACGTGGCACCGGTACCCGAGGCGGAGGGCAAGGTCGAGCAGAACATTACGCCGTGGGAGGTGGAGAGCGGCGAGAGCGGCATCGATTACAACAAGCTGATCGATCAATTCGGCTGCACGCCCATCGATGAGGCTCTCCTCCAGCGCATGGAGCGCGTCACCGGCAAGCCCGTCCACCCCTGGTTGAAGCGTGGCCTCTTCTTCTCACACCGGTACCAACCAATCCTCAATTATTTTTTGGTTTCCTTCCTACTCGCTGATTAATCGCTCTAAATAATTCAATCAATTTTCACGTCTTATATCTCTCTTCGTTTGAAGCAGCTGTAATTCAATTCATTGATGAAATCACAATATGTTCCGTGTAGAGCGCTCAATGAGATCTTGGATGCCGCGGAGGCCAAACAGCCCTTCTACCTCTACACCGGTCGCGGCCCCTCGTCGGAGGCCCTCCATCTTGGCCACATGATCCCCTTCATGTTCACCAAGTACGCACCCACTCCACACCGCACACACCACACGACATTGTCACATTGCACACGCGACGCTGTACCCAAGTACTGACGACTGAACGCGTGCAGGTACCTGCAGGACGCCTTCGACGTCCCGCTGGTGATCCAGATGACCGACGATGAGAAGTTCCTGTGGAAGGATCTCACCCTGGAGGAGGCCCACCGCCTCACCTACGAGAACGTCAAGGACATCATCGCCGTCGGCTTCGATCCCAGGAAGACCTTCATCTTCTCCGATCTCGAATACGTCGGGTACTCTACTCACCCCGTTCTGTGTGTGTGCGGTGTGTGCGTGTGTGTGTGTGTGTGTGTGTCGCTCGCGTGTGTCGTGCGCTCACACGGGATTCATTCGCGGGTGTACAGACACATGTACCCGAACATCGTAAAGATCCAGAAGTGCGTGACGACGTCGCAGGTCAAGGCCATCTTCGGCTTCACCGATTCGGACAACATCGGCAAGTACGCGTACCCGGCCGTCCAGGCCGCGCCCTCCTTCTCGAGCTCGTTCCCGCACATCTTCGGTCGCAACAGCAACGTCCGCTGTCTCATCCCCTGCGCCATCGATCAGGTACCACCATCCGCCCTTCACCATTTTTGCGTGCGGCCAGTGATGCGATTCGTGAAATGACGTTGACAACACTCTTTACATTCATGAGAACACAACTACCAAAAACCACACAACATTATGACCTTTATTTTATGTATAAGCATATGTTGGTGGTGATGAGGCCTACTATTATATCGTTGTTTCTAAAGTGTATGTGTATTGTTGTGGAATGCCACACACTCACACACACACACACACCGGTTATGTGTGCGTACAGGATCCGTTCTTCCGCATGACTAGGGACGTGGCGCCGCGCATCGGTTTCCTCAAGCCGGCCGTGATCCACTCCAAGTTCTTCCCGGCCCTGCAGGGACCCAAGACGAAGATGAGCGCCAGCACCCCCGGCTCCGCCATCTTCATGACCGACAAGCCCGACGAGATCAAGAGAAAGGTTCGCCTCATCCTCGTCATCGTCGTTGTCGATGCGTTCTTCTTGACTGACCTCCGTTCGCGGTCATGTCGCGTCGTCGTCGCCGGTCTCTAGGTGGCCAAGTACGCCTTCTCGGGTGGCAGGGAGACGGTGGAGGAGCACAGGAGGCTGGGCGGCAACTGCGACGTTGACGTTCCCTACCAGTACCTCTCCATCTTCTGCTTCGACGACTCGAAGCTCAACCGGATTCGCGAGGTTCGTTTCTCCGCACACACCACACGACACAACACATACACACGCACACAACACACGGGTCGCGTTGTCGCTGACGATCGTGGCCACGGTCCACAACAGGAGTACTCGAGCGGCCGGATGCTCACGGGAGAGATCAAGAAGGAGCTGGTGGACGTGCTCACGCCCATCGTGCTCGAGCACCAGCGCGCCCGACTGGCCGTCACCGACGAAGTCGTCAAGACCTTCCTCACCCCTCGCCGCCTCGAGTTCGGCAAAAACTAGGTCCCTTCCAACCACCATCACATCACTACGATCGCGAATACATAACTGGCCTTATCGGAGTTGGGTGAAGTGCTATCGACCTTCTATTATTTTTTTGTTTTAGGTGCTCAAACCACGTCTTCGATGTCGCCGATGTTGGTGGAGGCTGGTGGTGCGCTTCGCCTTCGCCGCTTGGCCACCCTCTTGGTCGTGCCGCCTGCTGCCGTGTCGTCCTTCGCTTTGGCTCTTTTGCCCCGCCGGCTCCTTGTCGGCTCTTCGAAGTCTTCGTCGTCATCATCTACCTTTTTCTCTTGCTTGGCTTTCTTCTTCCCTTTCGTCTTGGCGGCTCCTGCTCCGCTTTTCTCCTTTCGACTTCGCTTGCTCTTCTTCCCCTTCTTCTTGTTGTCTACGACATCATCTTCGCTGTTGTCGGCCATCTCCTGCTCCTTCTTGAGCGTCTGACCGTAGCGGCAGTCGTCGCGCAGCACGCATTCGCCGCACTTGGGCGAGCGGGCCTTGCACACCTTCACAGCGACAAAGACGACGATGGTGAATTAGCGATGGTCTTCGAGAGGCATTGGTGGTTCGCACGTACCTGCTTGCCGTGGCGAATGAGGAGCACGTGCATGTCGCGCTTGATCTCATCTGGCATCGTCGCATTCATGAACTCGTAGGTCTGCTCCCTGGTCGTCCCTCGCACAAATCCTGCAGCGCAGCAAAACCGACACAGCGACACACTACGTGAGCGATCAATTGGTCTGAGGGAAAGAAGGTGAGAGCTAATACCGAGGCGGGTCGAGACGCGATGAACGTGCGTGTCGACGGGGAAGTCGGCGCGCTTCATGTTGAACATGAGCACGCACGAGGCGGTCTTGGGGCCGATGCCCTTGTACTTGGTGAGCGCATGCTTGACCTCCTCGGTGGGCATGTCCCTCAGGTGCTCCAGCGAGAGCTCGCCGTCCCTCTCCTCGTGCAGCTGGTTGAGCAGCCCTTGGATGATTCCGCCCTTTCGCCTGCAAACAAAAACAAGAGAATTCGAAAAAAATAAAGATTGGGTCGACAACGGCAGGATTTGAACCTGCGCGGGGAGACCCCAGTAGATTTCGAGTCTACCGCCTTAACCACTCGGCCACGTTGTCCTTACGGACTCATCTCCCCTCCGCAGTGGAAATGGTGGCCATTGCGTGTGCGATTGGTGTGCGGTTGGTGGATGACGTACTGTGCGAGGCCGCCTGTGCGGATGACGTCAGCCAGCTGCGATGGCTTTGCGGTGCGCACGCGCTCCCAATCCTCTGTTGGCCGGACGAACGAAAGAAAGATGGTAAGTGGGATCAACCACAGTGGAGCGGGTGTGGCCGGACAAGCACCCTTGTAGGCACGCTGGAGGTTGGCCCAGGCCGCGGAGGAGTTGCGGTCGGTGGTGTTCTGCGAGAGCACGGTGCTGATGAGACTAGCCAGGACCGTCTTCTGTCCCCCGCACACGTTGGTCTTCTTCTTCTCCTTCTCAATCCCCGTATGCATTGGTGCAGCTGACTTCTTCCCGCGCGTGTCGGCCTCGTCTCCAGCTTGGCCCGCAGCACCACCTTCGTCGTTTTCAGTCTTTATCTCTAGCTTGGGCCGCTTGCGTCGGTCGGGGTTGCGGCGCTGAGGTGTGGGTGGCTGCTCCACCTTCACCACCACCTCATCTTCTTCTTCTTCTTTAGACATCTCCTCGACTTTATCCATTTCTTCCTCCTCTCTCTCCAGCTCCTTCTCTTCCTCTTCCTCACTCATCTGATCATCCTCATCTTGCCCCTCCTTCTTCATCTCCATCTTCATCGTCATCTTGTTCTTCTCATCTTTCACGAGCAGCCAGGTGCCGGGGTAGTGCTGGGCCAGCTTCCGGTGCACCTCCCGGTAGAACGCCTTGAGCTCATCGTCCGTGCGGCCGCCCGCGATCGCATGCACGATCTGCTGGGGCTTCGCCTCCACCTCAATCTTGATCTCATCGCCCTCAAGTGTAGCTGCCTCCTGCACTGGCGTGGTTGCATCTTCATTGCGAATCATGATGCGAATGTGAATGGGGATGCGTGCAGCAGGCGAGAAGCTGTTTGGTCGGGCGCTGCCAAGGTACTGCAGACCGGTCGACCGGTTTGCAGAGATGACGTGTACGAGCGCGCAAGAAGGAGTTGAGGTTGCCAACAGGCTCTGCGCATACGAGAGTAAAGAATAAAGAATCGCCCACTGCCAAACTCAATTTTTATTCCCTCATGATTTGATTTCTAGCGCAGGGTGTTCGTCATCTTGTGTTCCAGGAAAAAAAGAATGAAGGGAAATGAAAGGAAGTGAAATTGAACAAAGACAGGCCAGATGGGGCACAGAGGTTTGTATTTTGAAGGCCAACTTCTCCAAAGGATGCACCTCAGGGGTTATGGAAAACATGAGTGGTGTAAGGAAACTGGTAACACAAGTACAAGCTGCTTTTTAGGGTCGTGGATCCATCTCAGCGCAACAGTGTACCATTGGCCACAACAACTTCTCACAGTTATGTATGAAAGTTCAGCGTGGTGCACCACTGCCTGCCCTCAGTATTTTTGACTTGACTCGGAGGCGAAGTGCCGCTCCGGAGGTACGGAAGGAAAGAGAAAAAGAACGCGAGCAAATCTTTGCGGAGATCAACTCCATTCACTCATTAACGAAGAGCGGCAGCCATGCGTTCCAGCCGTGAGACAGCTCCGATCCTGAAGACAGGTTCGTCTCTCTATTTTGAACTCTATTCCGACCTTCAAATCAGTTTTTTTTGTACCAATTGACCTTTCAAATCACATTCAACCAGGCGAGTTGAGCAAGAAGGGGATGTGGGGACGATGGAAGGATCGCTACTTCGTCCTGCAGCCGCCCCTCCTGCTCGAGTACCACTCCGCCAAGGTTCGGTCTTTCCTGTGGCCCAAATAACCAAAATAGAAAACTCGTGTCCCCGGTAACCTTCTGGCGGCGTCAAAGTGCTGACCACGCACGCACACGCACACGCGCGCCACCTATGCAGCACGCCAAGGCAGGGAAGGTGGCGCACTCGCTGACCCTGTCCGAGATCACGATCTGCAAGGCCGAGGGCATCAATGGCCAGTCCTTCTCTTTCGCGCTCAGGTACAGCACAACATGCATTTGCTTACGGCAATCACATCATAACCTCCATTCCTGATCATATGATCTGGATCTGGTGTGTGGTGTGTGTGTGTCGTGCGTGTCGTGCGTGTGTCGTGTGTGTGTGGTGTGTGTGTCGTGTGCGGGCCTGGCCTCGTGTACGTATCATGCAGGCGCAAGAGCAAGGAATCGTTTTTCCTGGCGTCAGATAAGGAGCAAGAGATGGTGGAGTGGATCCGATTGATGGCCGTACGCCCTGCCTTCACCACTCCCACGCCGCGTGGCGCCGGTGGAGTTTGCACTGACCCGTTCAGGCGACTGATTTTGGCAGCCGCACGTGATGAGCGTGAACGACGAGTGGGCGGTGGACGACGAGGGCCTCGAGAAGGAGGTCGAGGCGGTCTGCGTGACCAATGAGAACGGGTACTTCCTCGCGGCCAACGAGATCTTCTGCGCCATGACGGGCTTCACCAAGGAGGAGCTGCTCGGCAAGCCCTGCACGCTCATCATGCCGGCCTCCATCGCCTCCAAGCACGAGAGCTACATGTCCAACTACCTAAAGACCGGCATCAAGCGACTCATCGGTACCCTCATCACTCCATTTAATAATAATAATAAATCACTTTTATTTTGTTAATTATGATAATAATTAATAATTCCCTCAGGCAAGCCCAGGCGGCTGGCCGTGAAGCGAAAGAATGACTCGCTGTTCCTGTGCGAGCTGTCTTTGGGCGAGGTCATCGACCAACAAAAATCGCTCCGACGGTACAAGACATGTGTGGCGTGTGTGGCATGCGTGTATGCATGCATGCATGCGTGTCGTGTGTGTCGTGTGCGGTGGCGTATGCGGGTTTGTGCTCATTATGTCGCGTGTGGTTAAAGGTATGTGGTGCATTTGCGCCCGATCATCGTCTCGGAGAAGCTGGGCAACAGTACGGAGGAGGACACGACCGAAACCATGGACGACCTGTCCGACATGAGCGAGTCCACTGAGTCCACGGCGCTGGAGGACAGCGGCAAGCTGGCGCGCATCAAGGAAAAGCGTCGGGAGGCCGTGAGCCTTCCGCTGGACATGAAACAGCCGACCGACGCCTCCAAGGGCTTCGGCTCCGACTCACACAGGCGAACGCTCAGCATCGAGAAATTCAAGGTAAACACACGACACACACAACACGCATGGCACAACACACAGGGTGAACGTTGCCTAATCGTTGGTTATTGTTGTTTGTGGACGAACAGAAAAAGAGCAAGTCGGCGCGCACCTCGCGAGACACGTCGCGGGACACGTCGCGCGAGGCCTCCAGCGAGAGCGAGGGCGAGGACGGGGGCGGCCACGTGTTTGGCCGCAAGAGCTTCTCGGGCCTGGGCGTCATCGCCGAGGAGCAGGACGCCGACGGGGCCACGCCGCACAGCGAGACGCCCCGCGGCCGGCGCTCCGGTTTCTGCAGCGGGACCAACAGCCACGAGATGAACGCGACGTCGGCGGCGGTACCCTACCACCCGCTCATCGACAAGGTGGGCAAGGTGTTCGACGACCGGGTGGCGGCGTTCAAGCAGTCCCTCAAGCGCAGCCTCCAGGAGGAGATGACCACCGTGCTCGCGCGAGTGGACCTGCTCGACGCCGAGCTCACCGAGACCAAGCGACGCGCCGAGCTCAACCGAGTGCATACAAACACCCAGTCATTCCTTGCATCCCTTTGTTGGCTGACTTGATACTTGTGGCTGGTCCTGTGGTGTGGACCGCTCCAGCTACAACGGAATGCAGCGCTAGCGATGGTGCTCGATCCGGAGAACAAGATCATGAAGAAGATCAAGAGGGCGGTCACGGCCGAGGTCAAGAGCACAGGTAAACGAATTTTTCTAGACATATAAATAAGTACATATTTCTATTCTAGGTTTATATTGTTAATTTATTCTATAATTGATTAAAGACTTTAAAACAAAATAAACAGATGACGAGAAGCTGCTCTTCCGGATGGACTCGAAGGCCACGAAGAAGGTGATCTCCTTCATGACGGCTGTGGGACTCGAGTACTTGGAGAAGGCCCTGGGCACCATCATCCGCAAGATCTGCGAAGGTACTCGCGCCGCTCTCACTCAACCAAACCCCACATTCTCATCGCGACACGCATTCTCATGACATGACACGACACACGGCACCCCCCGACCAGATCAACTGCTGAGCTATGAAGTCAACAACCGATTACTCGACCCCACCGACGACCGACAGCAGAACCGCGACCAGCTGCGGTGCATCAGCGAGATGTTCGCCACCGCCCTGGTCAGCTCTGTGGACGCCGTTCCTCCGTACGCCCCCCTTTTATATATATTTATAGTTATTATTAATTGAATTTCTTTTCAATTTGGAATTTTATCTTTAATTAATTAAATGATTTTATTTATTTATTTATAATAGGGAATTTTGTGAGCTGTTCAAGCACGTCAAGAAGGAGTCGGAGACGAAGTGGACCGGCAAGGTGGCCTACTACCAGCCCATCGGTGGCCTTTTCTTCCTCCGCTTCATCAACGCCGCCGTCGTCTCCCCTTCGTTCTTCGGGCTCGTCCAAGGTACTACCCCCCCCTCTGCTTTTCGATGCCTCCGCCGCGGAAAGGCACTCAACGCTCAGCTGTTGTTGTTGTTTGTGCCAGGCGAGATCGGGTTCAGGCCGCAGAGAGGTCTGATCCTGGTGTCCAAGCTGCTGCAGTACGTGGTCAACGGTCTCACCTTCGAACCCGGCCACGAGCTCTACGACTTCAACGACTTTGTAGTGGCCCAGGTAACCTCTTCTTCTCCTCCTCCCTGTTCTGCTTTTTTCCTGGCCTTCTCTACACAGACTGATTCACTTCTTTCTTTCTTTTGCATTCAGATGCCTGCATTTGAGGCCTTCATTGACAACATCCTGGCCAGGCAATGAGATGCACACTTTGTAGAGGGATGGTTACCAGCAAAAAGTACATTAGGCGCTTGAAATAAGACAGTGGACTACTCGTGTAAAAGTACATCAGGTGCTCTAGAGAAGAAGGTGAAGGAGAAGAAGAAGAACGTAGATGATGATAGATGGCATTGACTGTGCTCAGGGGCTCTTGTGAGAGTGATGATGGTGACGCTGACCCTAGACGCTGCCGCCGAAGCCGCCGAGGGCGTCGAGTGCGTCCCGGAGGAGGATGGACTTGACGGCCTGCCACACGACCTCGACGTTGGTGGTGTCGGTGGCCTGCGTGACGTGGACGTAGACCTCGCCCTCCCGCTCCTCCCCCGCCTTCAGGAACTTCTGCTCGAGGAACTTGATGCCCGCCTTGTAGTTCTTCCCGCCTGCACCACCCAACAACTCTCTCTTTAGCTTCGACCAAATTCTGTTGCGTTCGTGTCGTGTGCGTGCCGTGTGCGTGTCGTGTCATTGCGCGTGTTGTGTGTCGTGTCGTGTCGACGCACCCTTGTATTCGGGGAAACACGTGGCGAGGTCGACCTCTTGGATCTTCTTCTCGAAGAGATCCTTCTTGTTGAGGAACAAGATGATGGGCACGTGCCTCATGGCCCTGTGCTTGGCGATCTGCAATTAAATAAAACACGAAGCATTGTTATCGTCCATTTTAATAATAATAATAATAATAATAATAATAATAAAAAGTAATAACAATGGTAAGCGAGTGGGCGTGTGCGTACGGTCTTGAACAGCTCGAACGAGTCGATCATGCGGTTGGTTGCGCCGTCCTCCTCGAGCACGAGATCGTAGTCGCTCGATGACACGCAGTAGATGATCGCCGTCACGTCGGAGAAGAGGGGCAACCACTTGCTCCTGCACTCAGTGCATCATAAGGTGAGCTCGGTGTGTGCGGTGGTGACGTGTGCGGTGGTGACGTGTGCGGTGGTGCGTGCGTGCGGCGCTGTTGGACGTAAGAAAGAAGAAAGCGAACCTTTCGCCCTTCTGGCCGCCGACGTCGATGATGTTGAAGTTGACCCCGGCGTGCTCGAACGTAGTCTCGGAAACGGCGGTCGTGCGGAGGCGCGCCAGAAGGATGTCCACGTTGTTGGGCTCATACCGGCTCGACACGATCTCGTCCAGCTTCTTCAAATAGCTGTTTAATGTGTGCGTGTTGTGTGTTGTGTGTGTGTGTCGTATGCGATGAAAGGTTCAGTTGCGATTCACACGCGACCGCGCGTAGAGAGTGCACGTACTAGGGAATGGAGTCGAGGACGGCGAGCTCCTTGGCCTGTTTGATGATACTGTCCGTGGCCGCATCGTTCCAGATCTCTTGAATTTCTGCAGCCAGCGACTCGTCGATCGCATACGTCTACACCGCACACACGCGCGCGCGCGGTTCAAGTTAGTTATTATTATTATTATTTTATTTTTGGTTGGCCGAACCTTGACGTGCATGTTGGCGACCTCGATTTCCTCCATCGCCACGCTCTTCTTGACCCGGTAGGCGTCGTACAGTTTGTGTCCGAGAGCCTGTTCGACAACACGTGTTAACACAACACACACAACGCACGACACACGCAACACACACAACGCACAACACACGCAACGCACATGAGACATGCAGCCGTACATCGACATTGGAGTCGGAGAAGTTGAAGGAGTGTTGGTGAGCGGCGTGGATGAGGTCGAGAGTGGAGTCGATGATGTTGGTGTGGATGATGGCCTTGTAGTTCTGCTTCTCCCGCTCGGAGAACCCGAACATGTGCAGGATCTTCATCTGCTTACAGAAGGTGGACTTGCCCGACTGGTGGTTCACAACACAGAACGCGCGTTCGACCATCGCACATACACCACCGCACACGCCAAACAACACGATCGGGTCAGTGAGCTCGGGCCAAAAGGCTTTCGGTTCAAATAGGAAAAGAATTGGCCAATGGAACGAATGAAACGAGATAACCAAAAAAAAACAAAAAACAAACAATAAATAATACAACAAAATAAATAATATAACAAAATAAATACGCGAGCCGTCGATTCGATTGTATTTATTTATCTTATTATTTTAGTTTGATTAACTGGAGTTGGATTATCACTTGTAAAGGGAGGAGAAGAAAGAATATAATTTAACGCCGAGTTTGGGTGAAAGGAGGGACAAACCTGGCCCGATCCGAGCATGAGGAGGGTGGTCTGCTTGGCCATCTTCTTCTTTTCGTTCCGGAGCATCTTGTCGATGTCCTGCGACCGCTTCTTCTGCTCCTTCGCCGACAGCGCCTCCATCCTTCGCTCTTTTGGTGATCTGACTGGGTGTCTTGTCTCGTTATTTTTTTCAATCCTTTTCTTTCTCCCCCGCTTCGAACGACGAACAGCGCAAATCCTTTTTTCTTGACCTGGTCCCTCTGCCACAAACAGGCACACCGTGCTTGCACCACCGTGTCGTGTTCATTTCAAATTTAATACCTAAATTGAAAGTCGACAAATTCATTCTTTGCATTTCATCGAATTTATGCGAAATCGTAATTCGTTCTATTTTCTTTTGACACTTTCTGTGATGAAACCAACAAACACACCAGCTTGCCAAACTGCAGTTAGGGCAAAGAAGACAAAGAACACAAAAAGATGGAAGACCACGGGGCTGAAGACCAGGTGTCAGCCAGGACAGAGGAGAAAGAGGAGGCCAGGCGGGAAATTGTGGCGACGGAGGTGGAGGTGAGCTGCCACCCAATACACGGGGACGGCGACGGGCCGGAGCTCACCGGCTTCTTCTCCTCCGGTCACTCGTGCGACTACATCGACGCCTCGGCCTCGCACGGCGCACGGTACCACCTTCCCTCCTTCTTACCACAATGGTTGCAAGGCACTTAAGGCTGTTATGCAACCGACCAATGATGTGCTCAACAAACGTTGATTGCTGATTGGGTGGCGTGGTGGCGCAAAGGTTGTTTGTGTTTGGTGGCCACGTGGGCCGCTATGCCGGGAGGGACGACGGCGCGGTGCGGACCAACCAGCTGCTGGTCCTCCACAACGCACACACGCTCGGGGCCGACGAGGCCAGCGGCGACGGCACCTCGCCCACCTGGGAAAAGGGTGCGCCTTCTTCGCCATCTCGTCAACCTTCGATCACGGAACCCGCTCACTCTCTTGTGTGTGTGTGCGGTGTGTGTCGTGCGTGTGCGGTGTGTGTCGTGCGGGACACAGTGTCGTTGGGTAAGGTGAAGGGCAGAGCGGGTCACGCGAGCTTCGTGCGGAACGGCAAGCTGTACATTCACGGGGGCTACGACACCGGCCACCGCGTGCTCTCCGACCTGATCGAGATCGACCCCTCTTCGAGTACGTGCTGCCGCACACGCACGCACGCAGATGCACAATGGCCTGACCGGCGCCCAACAGGCAGTTACGAGTATCGGTCGGTGCCCTACGAGTCGGTCGTGCAGAACGTGGAGCGGCGATGGCACTGCTCGTATCATATCAACAACAAACTCATCCTGCACGGCGGATGGAACTCTTTCGGCGCCCTTAACAGCCTCGTCTCCCTCGACCTTGGTACCTTGTGTCGTGCGTGTCGTGCGTGTCGTGCGTGTCATGTGCGCTAACAGTTGTTTTCAAATGGACAGACACCATGAAATGGGACACGCTGGCGTGGGAGAACGGACCTTCGCCACGACGATGGCACACGCTCTCCCCGATACCCGGGCACCCGGAGCGACTGTTCTCCTACGGCGGCTACGACGCACCCAAGCACCCGCTCAACGACTCCTTCATTCTCGATCTCGGTACAGCACACCGACAACAATCCAAACGTGCTCCGCGACACCAACACTCACACGTGCGCCGTGTGCGGCGTGTGCGATGGTGCGTGTGCGTGTCGTGCGGCGAACGCAGGCGCCCAGCAGTGGGTGGAGCCAGTTATGAGGGGTGACATTCCCGGACCCCTGTGCCGACACACGCTCACCACCCTGCCCGGGCAGAGCCTCAAGCAGATGATACTCATCGGCGGATCCAAGAACGATGGCGGCACCAACAAGGAGATCCGAATTCTTCACACAGGTATTAAGCTTCTTTTTTCCATATACATTTCAATACATCATATCTTGTGATTTTAACGGTGTGATGGACTGGTTATAGACGACATGAGGTGGGAGCTGGTCAAGGACGCGGGTCACCTGTTCCCGGTCATTCGAAGAGGCCACCTGGCCACCCCCGTCGCCGATCGGGGCATCATCATCAGCGGCGGGTTTGCAGCCGAGTACATCACACCCTTCTACTGGCTCGACGCCCGCATGCTACGATGACCACAGCCTGGCGTTAATAACAATACAAACGCAACGCATCACCTCTCCTGACCTATGCTCCAGCTCAGCCCTCTGGTAGACGCTTCACTGGTAAAGCTGCTGTTTTGTTGCAGAAGGAGATCCTTAAATATAGTAAAATAATAGACATATATATATTTCCCAAGCTTTGTGGAAGAGCTCCAGACTTCATCCGCTGTCTTTGCAAGTCCCCTTGTCCTCCCTGTCCGCTTCTTCCTCCGTATGGTCTTTTCCTGTGGTGCTTGTGTCTCCTTCTGTTGGTTCTCTGTTGTCCAGGTGGGTTGTGGTTCTCTCTGGCGCATCTGTCTGCGAATGGTTGGGCTCAATGGCCGCCTCCTTCTTTGAGGCGCCGGCCAAGTCCTGAGTCGCCCTGGGGCAGGGGAGGCGAGACACAACGAACACGTTTACACGTGTGAATCAATCATGGATTATGGAGAGCATAAGGCCAAGTACCCACACACGGTGCAGTAGAGCGCGAAGCTCCTGTTGGTGTAGGTGCAGCTCTTGCATGACCAGCCCCTAATCGTGAGCCAGGCCATTGATTTTGCGTTCTGAAGAGCCCAGAAAAAGAAAATAGGGCTACTCACATTACAATGTAACGAGCTTCTCGGGAGGGCTGCATTACATGGCTGTCTACTGAAAGGCCAAAGTCCAGAGCAGCAATACTACCAGAGGCTTCACCAAACGAGCCCAAGGTACAACGCCTAATGCTGCAGCCCCTGACAGTAACACTGTGTAAGGGTGGGAGGCCCAACTAACAACGAAAGGAGAGTGTAGCACAAAGGTGACCAAAGAGGCCCAACGCACATGGAAGAAGACGATCGCAAAGAAGCAAAAGGATACGGCACGGTGGATTCCCGGGTGGTCGCCCACCCCAGTACTAACACCGCCTGGCGCAGCTTAACTTCGCTGTTCGGATGGGAAGCGGTGCTTTCTGCGCAGTATGGCCGTATCCAACATTGCCTACATTGATGCTCCTCATGACATGGCAGTAATCAGTGGCCAAAAAAAAAACAAGCAATGTTCTGATTTTCCTGATCATGTATGCATACATGATAAACTACATATTGGTAGGTCAAACATGTAGTCATTGTGTATGTGTATGTGATAAAGTAGATGTATGGTTTTAGGGTTTCTGTTGTTGTGTATGATTGGTGCAAGTCACCCTGCCATCAGCCTTGGCCAACAACAAGGAACTGTTGAAGCTCCTGAAGGCAGTAACTGCCTCATTGATGGCCCAGTTACAGCATCATATCTCTCATTATGATGGTATTTTAATATATTCATTGCAGTTGCACACATGGACTGAACTTCATTCTTCACATTTGTGCTGAATTGGAGCACTATTCCTGAAGATAAAATTCCACCACCACACCTCTATCTCAGACTGATAAAATCACTTTTAACTCCACACATTTCAAGTTTTTGTGAAATCTTTTGGATCTCCAGTTCCTCAATATCACTTATCAGCAGTGGTCTACATTCTTGATTTATAGGGCAGTTTTGAAGAGTTGGAATGTTTCAACATCTCACACAATTTTAGCACAAGAAAATTTCTACAGTCATTTGTGACCTCTCATTTCAAATGAGCACAAGTTCTTGGAGGACATGATGACAGCCAAATCAGCAGGGGAGAACTCAGGCAGGCTGGCAGGCCATGTTCCAACACAATGCAACCAAGCAACCACTGCAGCAACCATTCCCCAGAGTGCAAAAATGTAAGTTGCTCTCAGATGCAGGCAACTGATCTGTTGGGCTGGGTGCTTGTCTTCCCAAATTCAAGGTTACTTTTGTGTGACACTGCCTCTGTTTGAGGAGATCCAATTTTGAGCAACAGATCAGCAGTTTGAAATACTTTTCTCTTGTTTTTCCAAGTTTGGTGTGTCAATTGAGAAAATTATGCTGCCCCACAAAACCCCTCAAAAGAGGCAGTTTCTAGTGTGGATCCACATGCTTGCAGGCCAGGTGGCCAGCTTGTGGAAGGTCACATCTCTTCTGAGGTTGCTGTCCTTGTGGCTGTATTACTGCCATGTCATGAGGAGCATTAATGTAGGCAATGTTGGATACGGCCATACTGCGCAGAAAGCACCGCTTCCCATCCGAACAGCGAAGTTAAGCTGCGCCAGGCGGTGTTAGTACTGGGGTGGGCGACCACCCGGGAATCCACCGTGCCGTATCCTTTTGCTTCTTTGCGATCGTCTTCTTCTTTTCGGGTGGGTACTGTGGGTACAGATCGTCTTCCTTTGGCCAACGTACTGATGATGGCAGCAAAGCGCGCCTCTGCGGTTGTGTAGCGCGGTTGGTTTGGACGTTGGACGGCTTCGCCGGGCGTCACGCAAATGATGCAGATGGTATGAATGGTGCCTGGTGGGGCGCCAGAAAACAACGGAGGTGAGAAATGCGACGAAGAGCGAACGTGGTCCTCTCTATCTAGGGCGCCCAAAGAATCCGGATCAGATGTCATGCTTTGAGCATTTACTGAGCGGCGTCGGAGAGAAGGCCGTAGTAGCGGGCCAACCAGTAGGGCAGCAGGAAGGGCGTCGGCGCCTGTTCGCTGTGTCCGCTGCCCCCGTCGGGCTCGAACGGGTCGGCGTTCCACAGGAGCAGCGCGCCCTCGTCCCACGGCAGCACGGGCGGCCGGTAGTCGGTGCCGGCGAAGCGGTTGGCCTGCTCGGTCCAGATCAGGTCGAGCCGCTGACTGTTGCGCACCGGCCAGTGCACCAGGGAAAGCGGCCAGCGGCGCAGCGTCCAGGCCGCGGCGCCCATCGTGTCCGACTCGGGCGAACCCATGTTGTCGACAGACGACAATGACGACGATGAGAGGAATGTAGAGGCGGACAGATAGACGACATTCCAGAGCGAAGACCGGACGGGCTGCACGATGGCGTAGTAGCGGCTGA